TCCACACCCTACCCTTTCCTCATCGCTCCATGAGGCTAATCTGAACCACTCCCCACCAAATTCCAAGAAAAAATAGTTTTTGATGAATTCTACTTTTTCCATATTCTGATGCAATCCATAAATTTAAAATATTCTATCTGTGAGCGATTTCAAATCCTACTACGAGAAATATCGAATTTAAGAGGAACTCCCACAAATAGTAGGAAGAAATTATTTTTGTTGGCGATTTTTTTGTTTATTATGGGAAGCTTACGCAAGACTAGACTTGATTCCCCTTCCCCCTCTTGTGAGACCCAGACCCAATAAGGCAAACTCAGACTCCTTCTCCCCCTGAGAAGCTCGTACGTAATACCTGAGTAGCCCTTTGGCCCTTGGCTCTGTGTTTTCTGACTAAATCCACGGCTGAATTGGGACATCCGTAGGTAATAAAATTAAACTTTCAGTTACCGCCACACCACCGTGCTACTATTCAGTTAAAATTTGTATGAAATTAAGCACTCTTGACACTTGCATTCTGTTAAATCCGTCCCGCATCCGTGGAGATGTCGTAAATCTTTGCTGATAATCGCCCATTTGTTGCCTTTTGCCCACATTGTAAGTGATCATTGCCAGCTATCGTGAGTTTTTTCCCTCAACTTGGCGGCTAAGCGAGAGGATAATGTGTTTACCCCTCCTGTTTTTTGTTCTCCTCCATTTGAGCACCAGAGCAACTTCAAACTGTGGCTCTCTCGAAATTGTTGGTTGCACGAAAAATAAATTGCTAAACTCGCCGCGCCGTCAGAAACAGTGATTTAGTAGTTGTCGCTAGTATTTGTGAAGCTAATAACGTAAGCTTGCCTTTCTTTGTTGTAATTAAGTTCTCGATTTCGGCTTGGTCCCAATTCAAGCTTATTGTCTTACTATACGAGAATAGTTGCTTTTTGATGAAGAGAAACCCATATTACTCAAGATTGAAGGTTATAAAAATGTTCTTTCAGGTGTTAGGATGATAGGCTTGGAACCATGTCAATGAAAATGGGAAACATTAGCTTTTTGTTTTTCAATTTATTTAGGAGAAGACGTGCTTGGCTTTTCCGATTACAAATTTTAAATTTTCTGCGTGTGTGTGTGTGTTTTTTTAAAGAAAACTTTAGCACTAAGATCTTTTTTCAAAATTTGCAATGCCATTACGTCTGATTTGCTTCACGCTGTCCAAGTGACAACCAGAAAAATTTCGTTGTGAATAGGAAAGTTTCATGATGTTTCTTCATTACGGGGAAGAATCTAAAATATTTTAAAAAAGACATTCGCAAGTTGAAAGAGAAAAGTCATGGTAACGTCTACCTCTTTTTAATACATTTCCATGTCATTTAACATTCTTTACAACATTTTTACATGTCATTAAAATTTCAAGAAAATATCTTTATGTAAAAATAATATTTTTATGTTTTGTTTTTGTTTTTTTCAATTTTAAAACGTATTTAAAAAAATATATATAGTTTTTCAAAAGCATGTGTAGAATATCCGTATTTTTTATTTTTAAAATCAAACATAGAATATGTTTTCAAAATTTAAAACGGGTTTACCAGAAGTAAGAATCCCTAAGTCTGTTTCTAAATGTTATTTAAAACATTTGTTATATCAAATATTGAAAAGAAACGTTTCTATAACAATCATGTTTTTCGAGGTGCCATCAGGGTAGACTCAATGTGCTGATAAACCATTAAGGAAACGGTTTCCTTTATTGAAATAATGAACCCAATTTCTCTCAGTGTTAGCTAGATCTAGATTAAAGTGCGAAGTTTTGCGTAGCGGGCAAGACGCAGTATACACCGCGCAATTTTGGAAATAAACGAGAAACGAGTAAAATCGTGCACGTTGCTAGATATTTTTACGGTCATACACAAGAGGCCAAGGAAGAACAGTGTGTGAGCAATCAAACATTGCCAAATTTTTCTGATTAATATTTATTTTGGAGAAAAGTTTTTCCGCGGAATTTTAAAAAATCCTAAACAATTGTATCGCTATGGAAATATTCTGAAAAATTAAAAATAAAGTTTTCCGCGGAAAGTTCGGATTTTATCAGAAGAAATTCGGCAAGGCTATAACATCGATACGGCGTTCCTCCTAAGGACCGGAGAAGACACCCCTATTTTTTCGCTCGACACGGCAGCGGGGGCGTTGTCAAGTGTCAGTTTTGAGCCGGGTGTTTTTGCGGTGTGACGCATCCCTTTACATGAATGAGCGTCAATATCAGTTGTCCAACTTGCTCCACGGAGTGGGGACCCGTCCCCGGGGGCTTGACAAAGGGGACACTTCTACTTCTACATCACCCAACATTCAAACTAACTTGTTTTCATGTACTCTCTCTCCGACCCGTCCGGTCCCCGTTTCCTCTTCCGTTTCGCGCCCGGGTTCCGAGCCTAAAGTAGCTTTTCACCTCGCTCCGACGCACAGTTGATCGAGTCAACAGGAGAGGTCGGACAAAATTCGGAAACTTTAAACGCTTATAACTCCGTTTCTAAAAGACTTTGAGGTTCTAAAAGTGGTTTCATTGGTTTTCTCGTGAAATTGTCGTCAAGAAGCACTCCTTGAAGTTAAAAATGTGGCGAAATAAACATACAAACTTGCAGTTTTTGTCAAAAATTTCATGTCCGACCTCTCTAATTGACTCGATCCACTGTGCGACGCGTCGTGCTACGTAAAATGCTAATCTTCTCTGCGTCGCAATTATTTTCCGTTTTGAAAAGAACACCTCCCGAGAGGAATTTTGCGACTGGACGAACGTTGCGTCACTTGTGGGGAGGAAATGGAGAGAAAAACTAAACAGCGAGTGAGCCAGTGAAGGTGTCATAGATCCAAGTGTACGTCATGGCTTTTTTCTCGGAGGGTGACAACCAGAAACATTATCGTGGCCTTCCGGGAAGAATATCACAAGCGCCATTTCAGCCCAGGTGCTATGTTGCCAAACTTCTCAAACTTTTCCAATCGTTTGCGTAAAACACTATATTTTCACGGTTCAGCTTTTAATACCCTTTTTGTTATGAGATATTGAGCATATGATGCATAAACAAGACATAACATCAGGTTTACCGTTTAATTGTTATCTTCTTTCACGCCCCGAGCCCTAGGCGGTGACGAGTGTCAAGCTAAGTTAGGCTCGGTTGGGTTAAGCAACTAAACTAGCTTCGCGGTGAAGCTTAGGGTATCAAGCGAGATTGAAGGCGCTTCGCTGAATTCTCATTGTCCAGTTTTACAACTCCCACAGCATGCTTAATCAAATGTAAATGAAATGGGAATACCCATTGACGAGACCTTCAACACCTTCTAGTAGGTACTTTCACTAACATTTGGATCAAAAATTAAAATATTCTATCTAGCTCCCGGTTAAAAGATAATGAAAAGAATCACTTAAAAATTCAACCTATCATTACTTTTGTAATCAAAAGTAATGCCTGAATTTTCATGAAAGTATAAGCAAAAGTTTCAAGGGAAAAATTCAAACAATATTGAGCTGTCCGACAATTTAACTTCTAAGCGTGAATGGAGCCAAGAGAAACAAGCAGAGCACCCTCAGTTAGTGCCCCGTGCAACGAACACCAAGCTTCAATGTAACGTCTGGATGCAACTATTCGGGCCCGACGGATGTCCGTGATGCATACACACAGAATTGAAGGCGTTTTGACACTACAGGCACTCACCGCTTCACCCGTGCTATTCTACATATATCTACACTGAAAAAAAATCCGGGCGTGGCGGCCGCTCTCACGGACTCTATAGACATTTCGTCCGTGTTCCGAACTCGGAAGCTGGAAGTTCCGGGTAAAGCACTCGGAGAAGCAAGCTACATATCGACGGTGAAACTACCAAACCACGTATCTCGTTTGCGGTGTTTAAAAATCTCCGCTCACATTTTATTTTTTTGAAGTAGACCAAATCAATATCATTCCTTGAAATTTTCACGGAATTTTCTCCGCACAAAGAGGAAAAATCATAGAAATTTTCAAGACTGGATGTTAAGTAGTTTTTCATTTAAAAAATAAAGTATGACAGGAAGTCTGCGACGTCGCAAACCGAGATACGTGGTTTGGTAGTTTCACCGTCGATATTCTCTTCTGCCACTGTCTATAGATTCTCTCTTGTTATTGTCAATATATTATCTTTTGCAATGGAGATGTTGCATGTGTAAGGAATTTGCGATTTGACTGTTGATTCTTATGTAAAATTTCTCGAGAAACACGATGGTGCCACTGGTTTTCTCTGAAATCAACTCCCAAGCTCAAAAAAGCTCTCAAGTTGAGGCCAAAATGGAGGGGATATCCCGCGCTATCCTGAGAGTCCACCTCTACATCAAGACAAACTCTACATGCAAAGATAGGGAACAAATTCATTGACAGGGCTGCCGTGTTTTCAGCTTTAGAGTCCCCAAATATAGTGGCAGCCCTGTCAATGTATTTGCTCCCTATCTTAGCAAGGAGAGTTTGTCTTGATGTAGAGGTGGACTCTCAGGGTAGCTTGGGATGCCCCCTCCATTTTGGTCTCAACTTGAGAGCTTTTTTTGAGCTTGGGAGTTGATTTCAGAGAAAACCAGTGGCACCATCGTGTTTCTCGCGAACTTTTACATAAGCATCAATTAGATTGCATTTTGCAAAAAGGAACCAGAAGCATTGCAATGATGCTAAGATTGTGCAAATTCACCCTTTGCAGTAAAATAACTGAAATCATGAAAAAATATGGAATTTACATGGTAATTTTTGTCTTAGATTCTCAGTTTTCAGCGAGTAAAATAGAAACTGTCAATAGATAATCAGGTTTTTCTTCCAAGACAAAAGAAGTTGCACAATCTTAGCAACATTGCAATGCTCGTGGTTCCTTTTTGCAAAATGCGATCCAATTGTCAAATCGCAAATCCCTCACACATGCAACGTCTCCATTGTCTATATATTCTCTTTTGCCATTGTCTATTCATGCTGATTGGCCTTTGGACGAGCCTGATGCGTGTGTGGTTGTGTGTGTTGCAGAAGCAGCCGCGGGCGCGGGCGCTGTCGTGGCGGTGGTTCCGGGAGTGGTGCGTGGCTTGGTGGCACTCGGGCCGGGAGGAGGACCCGGAGGACTACGAGGACATCCCCTCGGACATGGGCTACGCCACCCCGGTCAGCGTGGAGACCCCGCTCCAGTCCAGCGTCTCCCGCTGCACCTCCATGAACATGATCCGGGACCCGTACGCCCTCGGCCAGACGCCCCCGGCCCGCAACCACCCCCCGCCTCCTCTCGCTCACCTCGACGCCAGGAGCCTCCCATCCGCTCCCGCCAACCGGCTTCACTCCAGGTCCATCTCCAATGATTCCGTAAGTTCTTCCTCCGCATCCTTTTTTTATAGCTTAGTTTCCACGGACAAAAAACTCTCCACAACGCTGCCGCGCTGAGGGAGAACGCCGTATGAACCTTCAGGCGTTGCCAAATTTCTTTTGATAAAACACGAATTTCCTGGTGAACTTATGAATGTTTTTTTCCCCAATTTTTCAGATAATTTTTCTCGCAATTTTAACCAAAGTTCCTGAAAATCGCAAGGAAAAATATTCATAACTTTCCTCAAAAATGAACATTATATCGAAAGAAATTTGGCAACTCTCGAATGTTCATATAGCGTTCTTCCTTAGCACGGCAGAGCGGGCCGATTTTAGAAATTGATGGACCCAACATTAGACAAACAAGTCCTGGAGAACATGCATCAGCGCCTACAAACCTACGTGGATACCTCAAGCATTGTGCAATGCGTGAAGTATCCACTTAGGTTTGTAGGCGCCAGTGAGCCACTCACGCTGGCAGCACGCCGCTCCGCTCTGTTAGGCTCTAATATTAATACTCACATAGTCAGCGTTTTTTAACTGATGATTTTGAAATGTTTGCACACTCTGCATTGATTCTTCTCATTTAAATTGATGAAAAAAAAATATTTATCAATTTATCAAAGGAGAGTAATAATATAATGTGTTTTTTTAAATATTGGTGGTGGTTGCCGTGTCAAATGATTTCCAAGGCGCTTTAATTTTTTATTTTACATTTTGTGCTTTTACTGTGCTGCAGCGAGGTGTACGCGCAACCGAACGCTCAAAATTTGACGTATTTGACTCTAAAAGATCGATGTATAAATGGGTTAAAGTAAAGATTGCGTGCTTCTTAAATAAAATAATAAAATAAAACAAAAAAGAGAACTAGATGAATAGATCTAAAAATAATAAATGAAGGACAATTGGGAAAAGGGCATAGCTGTTAAGGTTGTGCATCTTTCGATGCGTTTCTTCGTGAATCAGAAGCTTTTAATGCATATGTTTGCCTCCCAAAAACTCATAATCTGCGCGGACTTAACTGAACTTATATATAGAGGGAAAAAACAACGAGGCTGCACAATCTTAGCAACACCGTATGAACATATGCCCTTTCTCCGAACGGTCTTTCATATGAAACCGCACGTTCAATATTCGACTATCAGCGATTTTAAGGAAAATCTGAAAATCTAGAAATTGCTTACTGATCGATCGACCACAGAATCCTTCTCGTCAATACTGCAGATCCTCTTAACGGCGGAGGAGAAGGCGGAAAGATAAATAAAACGAATTATTGCCGAGTGCTATTTAGAGAATTGCACCAGATAAAAAGTTCATCCAACTTCCCCATCCGCAGACAGCGAGCTTTATCAGATACGATAAAATTAGATGGCGCCCTACAAATGGATCAGGCCTCTTAAGTAGCTTTGTTCTGCCTTTACGAGCGTTTTCCTCAACAAAATGGGCGTGCACACACTCTAAGTGGAGAGTAGGTGGGGAATCTTGCACAGCTCCTGCCTTGATTTGCAGACGCGATACAACTTACAGAAGAAAATTAAACGAATTCTCATAAGATTGTTCCTCCCGGAAGGGCTGCGGGCTGGAGGCTTTTGCGTACCTATATTTAAAGCTTCTGAATTCTCGCACGCTTCCTTTGATCCACGCCATAGGGCGGGGTTAAAAATTATTTTCAAACTTCGGCAGTAGACTGAAAGGCTTTAGCTCACTGCCGTGTACCTCGCTTTAAAATTGAAGTCTCCGGAGACTAAAGGTAGCTTCATTCCTGTAACTCGTCGTTTCTCAGATGAAGTAGCGCAACTACATTTCAGCGCTACATTTCCACTTGCAAATTGTACTTTTTCTTTGGGCATTTTTCTTTGAAAATTATACAGAGTATTATACACAGGCCTGGAATCACGTTCAAATTTCCGTCAATTTCCGATCAAAATAATGACAAAGTGGCGGTCGAGAGTTATGTAAGTTGTTATCTGAGATTAATTAAAAGAGCGTGTTGATTGAAATAAGCATGAAATAAGCACGGTTGTGTGAAAATCAGATGACGGATGAGACCCCACAGTTCCATCATCTAACATCAAATATTTGCAGGCCGCGAATAATAATAATTGATGGCAGATGGTGCGCACCAGTCACCATTTGATGGAAATTTGAGCGTGTATCCAGGCCTTAACTTCAGGTCTGGATACACGATTAAATTCCGAACCAATTCTGATCAAAGTGGACCAGTTGATGACTGATGGTCACCATGCAACAGTCTGTTTTGACAAAATTGGACGGGCCCACAGTGAATTGAGTCAATCAGAGAGGTCGGACATGAAATTTTCGACTGAAACTGCAAATTATGTTTATTTCATCACATTTTAAATAGTAAGGAGTGTTTCTAGACGCAAATTTCACGAGGAAATCAATGGAACCACTTTTAAAATTCCAAAGTTTCATATAAATGGAGCTATAAGCATTTAAAGTTTCCAAAGACTTGATCCCCTGTGAAACCGTCAAATTTTGATTAGAATAGAGTGTCACCATTCATCATTTCTTATCGTATACGGAACAAGTCTACCCTGTTTTCATTTTAGAACTAAGCAAAGTAACGATTTTAAGACCGCTGACTCCCGACACTTGATGGTAATTGGTTCGGGAATTTGATCGTGTATCGAGACCTTTTCTTTGAGCGAAACTTTTTGGGTATTGCAAGAGATTGATGGTGATTTTCGAATGTGTTGCAGGTGTACACGATACTGATCCAGCTGCCTCCGCGGCTAGACAGCGCAGGCGCGACGGACGGCCCGACGATCAAGATGATCTCGGACGAGCCGGTGATTGGCTACCGGGGGCTGGGGCGAGGGGTGGGGGTAGGGGTGGGGGCGCGCCTCGACGGGGAGCCCTTCTCCCACTCGCCGGGCCTCAATCGGCGCCCCTCCCAGTTCCACGACGCCCGCATGCCGCTCAGTGCCAAAGCCATGCAGAAAGACATGCACGGCAAGAACTCTTTGGCTGGCCCAAAGAACCCCAACAAGAAGAAGAAGAAGACCCAGGAGAAGAAGGCCGACAAGAAGGCCGCCAAGACCCTCTCGGCCATCCTCCTCACGTTCATCATCACGTGGACCCCCTACAATATCCTCGTCCTTATCAAGCCCCTCACCTCCTGTCTGGACTGCATCCCTCAGCCCCTGTGGGATTTTTTCTACTATCTGTGCTACATCAACTCCACCATCAACCCGGTCTGTTACGCCCTCTGCAATGCCTCCTTTCGGCGGACCTACGTGCGGATCCTCACATGCAAGTGGCAGAACAGGAACCGCGCCGCTATGAATAGGGGATTCTACAACTGAGTGGCCAGAAAGCAAGGTTCCGCCCATCACGGCCAATTCTAGCAGTTTCAAAGCGAATTTTATGTAGAGGCTCGGTACTACTTGTGTGCCCGAACCTCCGAGCTGCCATTCTATTTCATAGAGTACATAGAGTCGTAATGTAATTGGGAGAGCTGGCGCCACTTTTAAGCATTTTCCATGTCCCGAATTCAGAGACTCCTGTGTGACGCCGGGTCACTTTTTCGATACATACTCGATTGTTTGCGATACACGGGTACTCGGCCATCCGATGACAACAACAACAACAACAAAGGAGATAGGAATTACCACGTATTCCACACCGCCATTTTGGACCGAAAATGTATCGAAAAAGCGACCCGAACTCTTCGCACACCGGGCTCGGAATTCGTCGAGCAGAACATGGCGCCAGCTCTCCCATTTATATACATTACGACTCTATGTACTCTATGTTTTATTTGAACCAGTGAGAGCGAAAACACACCAACTCGAAAAAATCAAGACGCGCACAAAACTGTACTGAAGGTGAAGAAGTTATAGTCCAAGAAAAAGATGTCTGGTGCTTTAAGACAAGTACTTAAAGACTTTAAAGGTCCACGTTGGAACAGATACGCTAACTTTAATGACCTTTATGAAACTGACTGTCTTCAATGAAATTTGAGCATTTTTGAGTCACCGAGTTGGTGTGTTTCCGTTCTCACTGATTCATTTGAGTTCGGGACTTCTGATTCGGTGACGAGCGAATCGCAACGTTGGTGCGTGATTTTGGTACCACCTCACAAGGTGGTTCTAAAAAAGGTTCGACCTATCGGAAACCAACGGATCTGGTTGGTCGAATCTGGTAACAACGGTGTCCAGTGGTGTTGGTGATCGATGAGACAAACCTGGACAGAATCTCCCAAAGAGGTTCGCGGCACTCAAAATAAAATTAGCTTTCATACAAAGTTTCGATGCACGGAGGGGAGGGGAGGGGGCACAGGACGTGGTGGCTCGTAGAGATTTTGTGCGTCACTTTATGACGTCACTTCGTGGCTGTCTAATCCCTAAAAGCACCTATCTGCGCAGGGGAAGTAATGACACATACTAAGAGCACATGTTTCTAAAATGAGCTTGAGATAGAAGCTCCTTTACTGCAAAATAAATGTCAGTTAAGTGATTACCTCTAAGGATTCAAATATAAGACACACTCGATTAAACATTTTTTTTCTTCAAATTTGCGACCACTGGGACCATTTAAAATTGCTAGAAAATTTAACTGCACAATAAGCTCCTTTATTCTCATTATTCGAATGCAAACAGTTATACATAGTTTGAGTACTTAATTTTATTTTATATTTATTTTCCTGTCCAACCCGTTTTCTTTAAGAGAATACCTAATTTAAATTTTATATCACCTATAATGAATACTTTCAAACGGACAACCAAAACCACAATAACTGTGCGCTAACACAAAAATTAGAGGGTCAACAGCGAAATTATTTAAGAGCAGTTCCTTTTTTTCTTATCATGTGTCTCTTTAGTTTCATAACTATCGGTGCTTTTAGTTACCCTGGTGGGAACATGTGCATGTGCATGTGATGCTATTTTAATTTCTTAATGGCACATTAACAGGTTGAATATTAGGTAATTAAGTGTCAAAAATAAAACTTATTTATTCATTGAGCAATACAGACAATTCCATCCCCTGGGTCATTCATGAATGAAGAATATTTGGTAGAAATGGTTCTTGTATGTAGAAAGATAACAGGAACAAAGACGTTAAGTCAAACTCCGGCTTGAGAGAGCACTCAAAAAGAATAAATATTTTTTTATTCATTTTCCTGCTTTTGAAGGAGAGATTAAAGGAGTTTAACGATCGACGTTTTTGGTAAGTGTTAGCCGGCACTAATAAACTTTCAATCCAGTCAAGGAAAATATTGTGTAAATATGATTTAATTAACATCAGTGACTCTCTTTTTATATTTATATGTATATTTCGTTTAAATTTAAAACTTCTATGAATGTTGCACAGTTACAGTCTTAGGGAGTATTTTTTATCATGATGGATACTTCTCTGCGTAACTTGTTTTGTAACTTTTTCGTTATCTTCTTTTTTTACCATGAATGTACCTTAAATCCGTTGTATTGTGAATATTCTATTATATTTGATGTAAATTTTGTTTGTATCTAAGAATATGTGTAGGTTTTTTAATGTTCATCCCAAATTGATTCAACATTTTTTGTTCTGAAATTTTTTTCTTATACATCTTTTCACTTTAACTAAGGGAAATATGACTGTAATACTATAAGCAAAGCAGGAGAAGAAATTCAATAACCAAAGCAGTTCTCAGTTCTTTATTGTGCTTAAAATAAATTTTGATTCACTTCAAACGAGACGTGGAAAAGAACATGGGAGTCAATATACTTATGTTCTATCTCTCCTCTGTTTCTCGCAGAGCTTTCGTCCGATATGTTGAACAGACCATTAAATGAGCAATCCTTTTATTCAGAGTAATATCACTCTAAGTGGTGATTGTCTTTGAAAACGTTGGTGTTTATCAGTGGCGTGGCGTGAATAATCGATTATCGATATCTCGCCATTTGAAACTATGGTAAAGAATCGATTACTAAGGTTTTCGCTGCGAACACCCTGATAATCGATCTTTTTTCATAGGTTTAAATGGCAGAACAATCGATATATCGCAATTCACGCCACGTCACTGGTGTTTATTCTCGGGAGATTCATCTGAGTCAATACTTTTCGCAATTACGACAAAATCTGCTTGAATAATCAGCAATATTTTCATTATCGAAGGGAAATCTGCTTTAGTTATTTGACACTATGATACATTTTAATGACGAAGTTCTACAAAACACGTAGACATGGAATATTCTTCGATGAAATTTTGAACTGCTCTGAACCTGATAAACTTTAACCAAAATTAATAATACCTAGATTTATTTCACACAAGCGCTCTCTGGAATGCCGAAAAATGCACACCCCGATTTCAAAAGAATTCCTTATGCCAAGTATTTAAGTGCAAAAGTTTGAACTTTATTGTCCTAAAAATACAGTGTTCAAGGGACACAGGTTATTTAAATTCTCACTGCAGTTTCAAATTTTCATACGCCAAAGCATTTTTAAACACTCTGCACAATTCAGTACAAAATTAAACAAGTCCTATTCAGTCTTATGAAACATTCAACTTCAATGGCGATACCAAAATATAAGCAAATTTTTAGGAAATTACGGGTTCTAACTAAATTACCATAAATACAATATTTTGTACATTATCGTTTTCTTTCTTCAAAATATTAGTATTAATTATAATGAATGAGACTTTTATCAATGTATCCGTTGCTACTTGCCGAATTGAAATTGCGCCCTAAGATTAACAGTATCATAACCATCTACTCTATTGTTGACGCTTTCCCTTATTCTATCAGCACGAGGCAGGACTTCGTTCCGTCGAAACAGGGAATAAATTAATACAAGTGGATTTTTCCATTAATATTTCAAAATTATTTTCTTCAAATGTATGATGTTTTCTATCTTAATGAAGCTTTTATTTCTTTTCCGTGTCAAAACGAATTTGGGCATGAGACGTTCAACTAAGAGACCAAGAATGATGAACAAAATTTTTTGGATTGAGTAATGCAATCATTTGAAAATTTTAACCAAACATTTTCATAGAAGGTACATAGTACCAGCTGAATGAGCAAAATTGCAAAATGTGTCCATATACGCACTAGAAGAGCCTCTACATGACTGTATAGGTACTGCCATGCTAGGGAGAATCGCCGTTTGAACATGCGAGCGCTGACAAGTTTCTTCTGATTGAGCGGGTACGAACTTTTTGAAAACTTGCGAGTTTTTATTTTTGACTTTGTTGAAAATTTACCCCTGAATGCAATCTGGTAATTCTGTAAATGTTCAGAGAAAATATTCATTATTAGTTTTTTATATAAATTTGACAATGTCCGATTGCTCATACGGCGTTTCTCCTCCGCACGGCGTTATAGCCGTGTGTCCGTAAACGCTTTTTGCAAAGGTGTTCAGTATGAACATTAATTCTTATCAAAAATGAAAATAGCTCCTTCACCTACCCCTTTACCTTTTACTCCTTCCATTGATAATCCACAAAAATCAAGATGCTTGTGTTAATAAGCCAAGAAAATAATTTGAGCACGCCATGAGCTTTTGAAATGTCAGCTCAAACTTTGTGCCCGAAAAGTAGTACTCTTTGGTTGATTTTTTCGCCAAGTTCCAGTCCTCTTCGAATTCCAATTATAGCTTTATCATTTTCCTTAGCTGCCCTTTAAAAGTTTATTACCTTTTTTAAAGTTACCAAGCGCATTTGAAGACATCCATAGTGGGAGAGAGAAACGGTAGTTTCAGAAATTCGTATGCACGATATACTTTGTGAATCCATATTCGTTTCCATAATAGGACCTTTATGCTGATTACACACAAACCATGAGTCATCCTTAAGTCTCTTAATCATTAAGGCAACCCATTCTACCACTGATGTCGGAACTTGAGTCGACTACATTCCATTTTTATTTTAAATATTTTCTGTCTTCCTTTGTTGAGATTCTTTTTTTTAATGTTTTGTTCCTCTTTTTTCATTGTTTCTTTTAGTTGTTGCGTGAGACTACAGCAATGGCTTTCCTTTAACTTCCTGTACAAACCTGTGCCAAATTTTAAAACCGCCTCTGTGCTTTAGTTACGTATTTTTTTTTAATAATGGCACTTTGGCAGACCATACTTCTTCCTAAAATTAATCAATAATGATCTCACATTCCTCATGTTTCTCTAAGTCAATGTAATTTCTGGTTTTACTTTATGAATTATTTGTTCTTCTGCCTCCCGAGTGGCAATTTTCACCAATCGACGATGGACATGTTATGAAAATGTGATACGTACTCTCCAATTTCATAAAGAAGAGTTAATTCCAATCTTTCTCTGATATTTTACATTATAAAATACGATATGAAATGGATACTCTCCACTATTGTATTTCATTTGATAATACGCTCTTGAATTTAGTCTCACAAGATGGTGATTCTAGTCTCTACCACCCAAAATTCTAATAAACATTCAAAAAATGTTCTGTCTCTTCAATCTTTCTTTTTCATTTTACATGAGTAAAAACTAGCATTTATTTTATACATTAATAGTTCTACTAATTTTTATGTACTTGAGGTTTACATGGTCTATTTATTTTTCTTCGTGTACTTTACCTTCTAGTATCTGACCTCTTGCATGACTGCACGTTTTAAACTGATCGACGAAAAATGGAGAAACAAATTCATGTGTAAATGCTCAAAAATTTATATGAATTTTTGTAAAACCCAAAGAATTGGATGGATTTCACTTGATGAACTTCATTGTTTCTAATAAAAGTTGAAAAAAGCTTGACTGGTTTTGATTTCATCCCCATTCCCCATGCATATTTGAACAAAAGCCTTTTTAATGCAGCCCTCTTTTGATACATTTTTATTTTTGAACAAGATAACTTGTATAATATTTCCACTGCGAAACCGTTCTTAAAAATTTTTCCCAACATTGGCAACATTGCGTTTGGCAAAAATTGAACATTATGGTACAATTGCTGTACGCGATACTAGTTTTCCATCACTAATGTCGTTTTTCGTGCAGATGGACAATAAAAGATTTTCTAATCGTAATTCGGTGCAGAATGTCTTTCGAAAAACAGTCTACAAAAAACGTTCCCGAAAATTTGTTGCCTAAGTTCTACACAGATTGCAGATTTAGTTTTTGATAATTGCATTAGGAGGCAACGTTGTTGTGCACAAAATATACTATAAATAAGTGTTTGATACAACAAAATGCATGAGCCTACTGTTAAATGCATTGAAGGAGAAAATTAAAGTGAACATAAAATTGGGATTCCGCCAGTAAAATGAGATAAGTGACCTCCGTAAGAATCAGCCGCTGTTTTATTTAAACATATAATTAATTTATTTAGTTTTATTTTTGAAGTTTACTAAACATCTATTTGAATTGCCTCTTCTATGTACAAAAATAACATGGAAATGTAGTGACGTAGCATATTTTGTAGCACAATCTGCATAAATTGAAGGCAGTGACTTTCTTAATGGCAAATCTTGGAAGCAACTATTCGTGCTAAGGAGATGTCCGTGTTGCATATCCATGAAATTGTGGGCGTCCAGGCTCTTTCATCATAATGCCTGGCTGCAACTACACTTGATCATTGTTTGCTTGTGACATTACGTCGGTCGTAACAAACTTCAGAATCCAAGTGAATCATTCGGGGTGGCATTGCCGCAGCGTCACCAAATGGTGTAATAAGGGGCAGTTTTATAATTCACAATGACTGTGCGGAAGCGTTTTTACCAGAAATTCTCGAAGGAATTTTATGCAGCCGAATTTACGGAGAAATCTACGTAGAATGTAATTTACGTTTACGTACGTAATTTACGTTACGTGCTATAGAATCTTACGTAAAAGCTTGGAGGCTACAAAGCTCACTCGTTGGTTGCTGTTGGTGTTGTCATGTGGCGTGCGAACTTAACAGAGGAAAACGCTCCTGTAAATCGGGCCGACGCAACAAGTTATACTGGCGACTGAATCAATTCGTTCACAGTCTCCACCTAAACTAATCCACCAAGTCATCTCAAGTTATCTTTATGTTGAATTTCAATGTTACACATTATACAGCATTCTTGGACTGATTCATATACCTGCACGATTATTTTATTATATTTGTGAAGTTTAAAAAAAACAATATTTATACAAAACTTTTGGTGGTGCTGCATTATCATTACGTTTTGGGTTACCTAAAACTATTCAGAATAGCTTCATAAATGGAGTTTGTCTATTTTAAATTCCAGTAACTTCCTCAGCGAATATTATTTGATTCAACCCAGACATGAACTCTGACATCATTAAATGTTGACTGATCTGTGCTGAGCCATGCTGATCCAATGCTGTCTGTCTACAGGGCTCGATACACGATCAAATTCCCGAACCAATTACCACCAAAGTGTCGGGAGTCATCAGTCCTAAAATCATTGATTTGCTTAGTTTTAAAATGAAAACTTGGCAGAAATGTTCCGTGCGGTAGGAAATGATGAATGGCGGCACTTCATTGTGATCAAAATTTGACGGCCCATCCAATTTTGATCAAAGAGGACTGTCGCATGGTGACCATCAGTCATCAACTTGTCTACTTTGATCAGAATTTGTTCGGAATTTGATCGTTTATCTAGACCTTATATGCACTTCCTACGACTAGAGTCCCTTTATACCCAGAGTTAAGACAACTCGATTATCAGCTGACTGGCAGCCGGCCTTGGCTGGCCATGGAGGCCGAAACGAGTGCACCCAAACGAACGATATTGAGGGGTAAGGATCAGGAATCCTGCGATGTCTGTCACACAAAAACAACAACATCAACAAATTGATCAATTAAAAAGAAAATGAGATTGGTTTGTGAGTAATTTCTTAATCTCTTCTCATTTTGGACCGATGGAAATGACAATTTTACTCTTGATAAACCACAATTAGGTGATATTTTTATTATTCTTGTTCACATTCGAGGTACCGCCATCTTGGTGCACTCGTTTCGGCCTCCATGAGCGAGAACCAATCAGAATTGGATTTTTTTTCAGGCCACTTTCAGCCGAACCAAAAGTGAGTTGTCTTAACTCTGGGTATAAAGGGACTCTACCTACGGCTAGCTCGTTTGTCAAATCTAAGCATTTCAGCGCCCAGTTTGTCAAATCGTCATCGAGTGCGACCTTGATTGAAATTTAACTCAAAACACTGATTGAATATGGATGTATCGAGGTGGAGTTAAACGAACGGTCCCTCACGATAGCCGGAAATTTTGTTCACGATAAACGGACCAGTGCCGTGCGCGTATTTTAATCGTAAAATTCCATGTTTGTACCTCATGGTCTAATAATTGTCCGGTTTGTCAAATGCTCGTCTTTTCTACTTTATCCAGCTCAATTTGAAATGATTGTCCTAGTGGAGTCAGCGCCTGATCACTCTGCGTAAGAGCGTCAATCACCGGCCTTAGCAGCATGTTCAATTCCTCTTTTGGCACGTCCTCCATTTGAGCATACATAGTTTTGTAGATTGCACGCAGCTTGTGCATTTGAATATTCATGAATTTCTCCTCTTGCAAGAGCTGAGTTTTCTGGAGCAAAAATGACATTGTCGACTTAATACATATATAATTGGAAACTGAAGTAAGAGCGGACTCACAAAAGAGAACTTCATCCTGGAAATCACTGTGCTCCATTTCGACGTTATCTTGGTTCTCGAATAAACAGTGGTATTGGTATATCCATTAAGAGTTTTTAAATTTTCTTACCTCTCATGAACATCCGTGAGAGTATATAATCCACTGTAAAATTATCAACGCTGGTGTAACAAGACACTCTGTATATGTATAGTGCTGTTCATTTTTACTTAATTTACAGTTGAAGAATGTTTTTGTTTCAGAATTAGACGTATTTCTATCAAACGGACCTAAGCGCCATAGGGTGAGGAAGGTAGAGGGGGGCTTGGATTGGCGGCGGAATCGGGCGTCGGGCTTATTCCGTCCTATACTCGCAATGCTTTTCCATGGCGCTTAGGTCCGTTTGACAGAACGCGCTATCCGGGATTCTAAATTCCTCAAAAGGAACTCAAATTGACGCTTAGCTCCGTTTGATAGACGTCCAATTAGGCATGCAGCTGAAATGGAGGAAACTTTGAAACTTTTAAGACAGACGTTTCTCTGATAGAGTTCTTGTATGCCGCAGGAATTTACGATCTAATCACTTTACTAATGATAAAATTTCGCAAAAATAACGATGATGCCACCGTTTTTCTCTGAAACAAACTTCCGATTCCAATCACTCAATCACAAACTCCCCCAACTCAAAAAAGCTCTCAAAATTGAGGCCGTAATGATGGGGATCGGCTACGTTACGATGAGAAAGTCCGCCTCTATATCCACTTAAACTCTCTACTCTCCACACTCTCCACACTCTCCACACTTTCCACCCTCTCCACACTCTCCACACTCTCCACACTCTCCACACTCTCCACACTCTCCACACTCTCCACACTCTCCACACTTTCCACACTCTCCACACTCTCCACACTCTCCACACTCTCCACACTCTCCACACTTTCCACACTCTCCACACTCTCCACACTCTCCACACTCTCCTCTCCACACTCTCCTCTCCACACTCTCCACACTTTCCACAAATAGGGATCAAGTACATTAACAGGGTTCAAGCCTAAGAGTCACCACACAAAGCGGCAATACTGCTAACGTATTTGATCCCTGCCCGTGTATGGGATTTCAGGACATTCCGTCAACGATTTTTTGTCTAATGGCCCGTTTGGTCTGGTATTTTACGTCCACGCGTTAAATAAAGAACAATGACTTGGTCCAAGTGCTATATTTTAGCCCATTTTTCAAAATCCTGAGCCCCAAAATCCCACATTTCAAAATCCTGAGTTGAAAAACGCTGACTCAGCCAGTTTAAATATTAGAGCCAAACGCAGAGCGGAGCGGCATGCTGCCAGGCCGCGCACCGGCGCCTACAAACCTAACAGGGATACTTCACGCATTGCGCAATGCGTGAAGTATCCCTGTTAGGTTTGCAGGAGCTAATGCGCTGGTCGCTCTTGCCCGCCGCGCCGCGGCGCGGCGCTTCAAGCGACTATTTCGCAACAGAGTTGGTGCACAGTATCATACGAAATTGAAGGCTTTCCAACATATTAAGAATGACAGGCATTCTTTAAGAGTACGGAGCTTTCCTTGAAAAATAAATCAAAATACTACGGCATAAAAAGAGAGCGGTAGTCCAAAAACTCACTAAGTTCTAGCATCCGTATTGAGGTTTAGCATAATTTGTGAATGTCATCAGAGAAAAAAGGGACTCGATTTAGGCAGAAACATTCTTGAGTATGCCGTCAAGAAGATTTTATTTTCGAATCGAGAAAAAAATAGCTGAATGAAAGCGGGGTTCTGCTTGATTAAGTGACTTTTCGTTTTATATAAGCATCTTTTCTTCTTGAAACAAACATTATTTTCTTTATAGATTCAAAAGGAAATCATCTCAGCGGTAAATGGGCCTGTTGCAAACTTTTGCTAGAGCAGAATGAAGAGTTGTTTCCCATAGATAATGCCTCAAAAATCACGATGAGCGCATCGGCAAAGTCTGAAATGCACTCATAAATTCACAATCTGCGTAAGAAATTTGCATTATTTTGAGCTTCCCGCTTCAAAAACGATACTACTGCACAGGTGAACATTTTGTTAGAGGAGTCGCTCCATCGTCGGCAATATTCATCATGGCCGACGCTTGCGCAGTTCCTCGCGTAATTCGAGGAGAACTCAAGGTCAATTAAGGCGGGCGAGGAAAATTTGAACGTAAACACGCCGATTGTTATCTGGTTTAATCCTGTTCAGGTGTTATCTCGTCCCATCACACGTGTTTTGGCGGACTGGCGTCGGCCATGATGAGTATTGCCGCGAATGGAACGACTCCTCTAACAAAATGTTCACCTGTACCGTAGTATCGTTTTCGAAGCGGGAAGCTCAAAAAATCGGAAATTTCTTACGCAGATTGTGAAGTTATGAGTGCATTTCAGACTTTGCCGATGCGCTCATCGTGATTTTTGAGGCATTATCTGTAGGAAACAACTCTTAGTTTTGCTCTAGCAAAAGTTTGCAACAGGCCCATTTATGTGTATTCCTGCTTGAATCAAGTCCTTTTTTCCTCTAAGGAAGTTTCAAAATCACGCTAAATGTTATTGAATACAGATACTAGGACTAAGTAAGTTTTTCGACTACCGCTCTCTTTTTGTCGTCGTCACTCCATTTAATTTGCAATCGATTTTCTTACTTTTGAAATATTCCATCAATCATGATGCGTTTGTGAGGTGCTTTCAATCTCGTATGATACTGTGCGACACCTCCGTGGCGAAATAGTTGCTCGAAATACCGCGGTACGCCGGCGCCGTGGCGAAGTTATAGTACCTACACATGAAAAATCTAAGAACCTTTGGCTGAGGCAAATCAAAATCTTTATCCGGTACCAATATAGGATTTTCTTGAGAGATAATTAAGTCCTGTTGCATCCAAGAGGTGTAGAGAGTTTTAGTTAATTTTCTCTCATGAAATTGATGCCCTCCCATTTTCACCAAAATTCTCAATTATATATATTTCTCCGTCGGACCGAACAAACAAAAAGAAACAAGCAAACCCTCATTCTCCCAAATCATAATACATTTCCATCCATGCACATTGTGTCCCAACCAACCAATTGTCATTTGTATTTACATGTGAACCAATTAACTTTGGGTCTCAATTGGTAGGTGGACCAAAACTTCCCTGCCGCAAAAACGCGTGGACGTAAACTACTGGAAATACAGGCGCGCGGACAAAAAATCGTTGACGAAATGTCTTACAACCGTGTATGGAGACATGGAGAGTTTGACTCTAACGCAAGCGATCCCCTTCATTACGGCCTCAAATATGAGGGCTTTTTGGAGCATGGGAGTTTGTTTCAGAGGAAACGGAAGGCACCATCGCGTTTTTCTCGCAAAATTTCATGTAAGAGAAAATATTTAAATCGCAAATCTCTTTGACACACAGGGCGACTAGATTAGGATCGACGATACCTTTCTATACAAGTTCCAACAAAATCATTTCAACTTTATGATATAAATTTAAAGCAAATTATAATATACTAGGGGCTTATGGGGCTGCTTTGCAGCCCCTTATTTTTCCCGTACAGCACTTAAATATACTAAATCTATAATTAAAAAAGATATTAATCATTAGCAATAGAGAAGGAGAGGTAGAATAATATATACATAAAGTAATATAGTTATTAATATTTAAGTGCTATTTTAGAATGCCTGAATAAAAGGTCTATTATGATATAATAGTTTATGTAGCTCTGAAGTAGCACTTTCACATGTTTTTTTTTTTATTAATTTATTTTCATTTAATTTTCTGTTTTGTCTTTGAATCGGGTCTAATTATTTCTTTGAGAGAATAAATATAACAAATGTTTTCAAAAATTGTAATTTTATTTTGTAAACTTTAAACTAAAATTTTGTTTTAATCTTCATACAAAATTATTTTTTAGGTTTTACATTTGTTTTCAAACTAATTTTAAAGAATATCTTTTTCTATTTTTTAAATGCATTGCTTTTTTTCCGATTAAATTGTTGATTCTTCTTTTGCCATTTCTGTCCTGCTTTTCTTCCTATATTTCCTACAACTTTGCTCTTATTCTTTCCTCCTTTTGTCTTTTCTTTTTTTGCTTCTTCTTTTTCTTCTTCAGTAGCTGTTCCTTCTGGTTCTTCTTCTTTTTCTGCTCCTGTTTTAACTTCATCTAATTTTTCCGCTTTTTCTTCTTCGTTTTTTCCATGTTCAGTCTGCTTTCTGGTTTCCGTATTTGCTGGTATGTTATCTTTTTCTTGTTTCGTTATCTTACTATTCCACATATAACTCATATGTTTCTCCACGAACTCTACACATGCTGCATCATAACCCTTATAAATGTATTTGAAAAGATATTTTACTGATCTTATACTCGAACAAATTTCGACATTTATATGTGCATCGTATTTTAACAGTAAATAACCATTAAAAGGCACTATGTCTCTGTTGTCGACTTGGTATGCACTTTTACACGCTGTTACTCCATTATTTCGTCTACGATATACAGGATAGCCATTTTGATTTTGTATGGTTGTCTCTGAGAAAGATTTCGGATAATTTTTTGAGCATTTTCCGAGTTTCATGCAGGGTGATGAAGAATTTCGTTCGCAACATGGTCCGTGAACCATATGAGATAAAACTCTGTTGTATAAAATGGGTGATTTTTCATGATCTGGCAACTCTGCACTAACACAACTATCAATACTTGCAGAATCCCTAAATTTATGATTTTTGTCTAAAATTAAAAGAAGGTGACTGTGCGGAAGGTCTCTTTTTTGGAACTCAATGACGTAGACGTGAGCCAAAAACCAAAATGACCATAAAAAAATGACCATTGGACATTTCACCCTGAAAATGGCGAGCATCACAATGATGACAAATTATATTCATTGAACCGACTGAAAATTTGGTAACAAAATTTTCATCAAAGTTCTGATCATCAATTTTATACTTCCGAAATAAAGAAATGAAACTTTGATTTTCTATACTAATAACAGAGTTAAGTTCTTGCTTCACTAAACGAACATGCGAAGAATGAGCTTGTTCAGCAATTCGTAATTCTTGCATTTTTGGAAACTAGAGAGTGCACAGAGTTCACAGGAATTTTCCCCGATTTTTTTGAGCAATATTAACCCACGAAATACGAGTCCAAAAGTCCGTATTTTGGGCTCCCATTTAAACGCGCGCCGCTTGGCCCATCTCAAAATGGCGCCCATTTTCTCCGTCCGGCGGTGGCCACACTTTNAATTTATAGTTTTCCCGAAGCATTGAGAACAACACCTTTCAAATGAACCAACGCCCCTCGCAATTAGTACAGTGGTTGATTCACAATTTCATTCTATTTTTCAAATTAGATATTAAGATGCCCTTACCGCAATCACTTCTGTTTCAGTGAGGTTTGATTTTCCTTCATTGACATCGAACATGACTCTACCAGCATCGAAGTAGCGTCTTATATTAACAAGCACTTCATTCGCCTGTTCAACGACTTCAAGGAATCTTAGCGTCTCGTTACTTTTGAGGTCCGAGGCCATTGCCACTGCCTTCTTTATAAGGGTCGTTCGGTTGGTTTCTATGGCTGTAAATTCATCTAATGATTCGTCAAAGTTTTTGCTCGATGGTCGCTGAGTTGGCTGCAAAAATTTGAGCTTTTAACTCACTGAGTATGCAAAAGTTTAAGAGTTACTATCAGCATCCTTCTTGCCCCCAATTTTACAATAACAATTCATTTTACAATAACAATTCATCTTTCACTAGAACCTAAAATCTAGGTAAAAAATTTTACTACATTTCGAACGAGTTCTCATGTGTTTTTACACGGCGTTTCTCAAAACAGTCGCTTCGAAGCGAATGGACCTCTTCTTTCACAAGGAACACATGTTTCTCGCTACATAACGTCATCCAAATTGCGTTTCTATGAACAGCCAGAAAAAGTGGTTCTTCTTTACAAAAATGTGGTAAAATTGTAAATCACATGTTCGACTTACGATTAAAGGAAATCATATAAAAAAGAGATAAATTGAACATAATTCATGATTTAATTTTCAAGCCTGTACCGGCCATAAAGAGCATTAAAGTACAATACCATAAGTGCTGCAGTATGGATGTACTTCTGCCAAACGAAACTATGTGCATTAGGACGTAAGCCCTATTATGCATTTATCCTGATGGGTCTCAGGGCTTTTGTCTTAATGCACATAGTTCCGTTTGGCAGAAATACGTCCGTATATTTTAAAGCAACTCTTATTTTTACACATATTTGAGCATATCTGTTTTTATTTTTCTACCGCACAAGTTATCACTGTATACACTTACTGAAGCCTCAGAAGATGCAAGAATCAACGCATGAGAACACACCAAAGCTAGAATCATACTTCTGTTACAAGCATAAGTAATTTTTTTTCAAGGAACAATAAATGAAACATGAGCAGAGGTTCATCTTATCATAGAGTCAATCAGATACGCTCTGAAGACAAGCTGAGCCGCAACAATAATTTGAATTGTTTTCTTTCGTCTTTTTTCCTAGAGAGGTGGCAATGAAAAAAATTTACGACGACCACTGTCAACGTCGCCCATGTACCGCAAATGGTTCACAATTCACCGCTGAAACACAACATGGTCATTAATGGTTGCGGTATAGGTAACAAATTTAAATAGCAGGCACGTGTTACTCCTATGAGCGCGAGGCAACCTGAAGCGCCTTCAATTTTTGTGCATGCAACACGCACGGTCATAAAGCACGAATAGTTGCATCCAAACGTTGCATATATCCAGCGTTCCGCTCGTTCAATGCGAACAGCACAGAACTCTTTTTTTTAAAAAAAAAGGGATTTCGTCAGATAGTTTGTAACGTCGTGCTCAGTGATAAAGCTCATTTCCAGTTTCATCGTTGAAATATAACTCGAGAGTCCTTGAACGAATTATTGAAAATATTAGATGAATTATTAAATTGAAGATTAGAGGATTTGTTGAGTGAAATTTTTCACTGAGGTGCTACCAGGTTCATTTCCTCAAAATTTCATCATCGCACTTCCTGTTCCCTTCGGCAATATGGCAGCTATGTTATCAGTCCTACATTGCATAAGTTGTCACGTTCCGGCCAAAGTATGACAAGAGCCATGCGACGTTTAAAAATTTCCGCCCCCATTTTATTTTTTTATAGAGAAATTGTTAGGTGATCCGTTTGAAAATTTCACTGGATTTTATCGGCAGCACAAAGAATATTCAGTGAAATTTTCGGACAGCTTTATCGAACAATTTCTCTGCGAAAAAATAAAATGGCGGCGGAAATTTTTAAACGTCGCATGGCGCTTGTGACACTTTTGCCGAGAGGTAACGAAGTCTTTTTTCAAAAATCTGGAGGTAGATATGACTGAATTACTAAACGCTGCCCAATTCAAAAGCAAGTCCGCAGAAGCAATCGCATCTTCCGTTCAAGTGCCTACTTTGGAACTCAGGAACCGTTAACCCCACGAGCGGACTCGAGCAGGGTAATTCGGGGAACTCTCCACGATTTGTTAAAACCGCGGTCTCGATCAGTCGACAGCTCGCGCTAAGATTTCTCCGAATCTGAGACCGATGGANGGGGGGGGGCACTGGATCCGTCCGGGGGAAAAGAATAATACTCGAAAGCTCGCTACCATATCGGGGAACCCAATGAAAGCGCGGGAGAAATAAAGGCGGCCGGAGCGAGACGGAAATAACTGCACTGCCGTTATTGGCAGATTGTGCTAAAAACCAGTATTTTCCCTATAAAATACTCACATTTTATAGGACAATCGGGCAACCTCGCAGCAGCGCACTCCAGACGCGCGAGCCGAAGTTAAGCGATAATTCAGTTTCGCACTTGTCACTGCCCGGGTGGGGGGAGGGTAGGGAGAGGGCAGGGGGAGGCGGGAGGGCATTGAAAAATAAGCGTCGGATGGAAAGAGGAAATCGGTTGAATGTGAGAACCAGCGGAAGCGATTTATAATATTTTGACTGGCGCGCGAGCCCAGCGTCGTATCAATCCCCCCGGTTGCCTCCCCCCCCCCATCCACCCCCGGTTCGATTTTTGAAGCTCATATCAGCGCGTCGAAGAGGCTCGAATATTAATGAGCCGCGAACGGGGGATCTCTCCGAGGGGGTGCTACGCCTTTGTGGGGTCGCGCAACTTTACGGATGGGTCAGTTGCGCCGGCCACGGGAGCGTCATCTGATCGTGGAGGGGATGGAAATGTTATTGAACTACATGTTGCAATTTGGAGATGCTGTGTAAAAGTACTTAACTGCATAGAGACACTAGTAGGATGTGTGCTGTTTTCACAGAGAGCCAGAAATAGCAGTTCTAGCTTTATTGCAAAATGAAGTCCAATGTTGACCATGTTCCGACTGACTCGCGGGTTTTAAACCCTTACATGGGAAGTCATGAAGACACATACACATCCAACAGCTAGGATTTCCTAAAATAGGCGGGGACGGATAAGAAATCAGAGCAAAAAAATAGAGAGAATATGGAGGGGGAGGAATAGAGAAAAGAAGAAAAGCTGGTAGAAGAGCAAAGAGATTCAGAAAAGAAGGGGGCAACGAAGAAAATGACACGTGTTTTCTACGCCTCTCTCTTTTTCTTTTTCTCCTTTTCGTCATTCCCTCTTTTCCCATTGTCCTCTCTCTACTTTTCTTCCTTTTTAATCTTCTTCTTCCTCTTCATCTTCCTCCTATTTTTCTCCGTATCTTCCCTCCCAGGTGTATCGTTAAAATCATGTTTGAACTTAAGCTAAAAATTAACACCGAGGTTGTTCCCATTATAGGACTTTTTATTTTCGCCACACCCCAATGGAATCTCCGCGCTCCCAAAAAAAAAATTGGCAACTCTTTGAGAAGTTTTTGTCTCGGTGAGGTGAGATCCTTTTATCCAATCAAACTAACTACATTTCAAATGGCTCGAGCGTAACAAACAAGGTTTCATGAAAAACTGAAGGTATTCTTAAAATGCGTAAATTCAAAAGCTTTTTAGGGGATCTGATATTCGATGTTCTGAAACATCTTTTTGCTGCGAGATGCAGCCTCAGACAGGCAACCAGAATCCATTAAAACCCCATTTTTGACATTTTTGCCCTTGACTTATCTAGCTAGAGAGTAACTGAATCAAGTATCCTCGTTAGCAACGATCATGTTGAGATGGTACCACCATGTTGAGCTGATGTTGTTCACCAACATGGTACCAACATCGCACCAGCTTGGTTTCAACAGTGCTTCATGTGAATCACCGCTGACCAATCCGACCACTTTGATACCATTGTGGTACCACGTTGACACCGTATTTAAGCCATGTTGGTATCAACGCAGCAGTACGTCTCACTCACCAGCATAGCCATGGTTTTAGCAGGGTTGCAAGATTCCGATTTCTTGCCGCACTTCTCTTCAGCAAGGGTGGACGAGCGAGCCCTTCGCTAACATGGCCGGATTTACCTACTTGACGCCCATGGGCCGCCTGTATTTTGCCACCCCCTTCTCATTTGTTTTGAAACTCGATAAAAACCATCAAATGAACGTGTCAGCGGGGGAGGGGGGCATAAGATGCATTTACTCGTGTTGAACACATTTTTTGGGAAAGCCCTGTCTGCACTACTCGCAAAAGTTCACGGAACTTGGCGCGAAAGTTAAGTTCCGTTAACATATCTCTGTGTGGACAAGGTCCTCCATTTAGAAGAAATGAACCAAGAAATTATGAATGAAGAACAAACATAAATGCGGATGAATGATTTTAACTTCCGCCGCCGCGCCGCGCAGACCGCACAGTGTTTGGCGCAATGAGTGAAGTATTCCGACAGTCTTGTAGGCGCTATGCGTTTCACGCCGACCGCTGCTGAACGCACCGTGTTGGACGCAACGCGTGAAGTATTCAAGCAGTCTTGTGGGCGCTATGCGTTTCACGCTGACTGGATTGTGTTTGGCGCAATGCGTGAAGTATTCATGCATTTTTGTAGGCGCTATCCGTTTCACGCTGACCGCAATGACCGGACTGTGTTTGATGCAATGAGTGAAGTATTCGTGCAGTCTTGTAGGCGCTAATATGTGTCACATGCCGATCGCCGCGCCGAGGGCTTCTCCTTTTCATCTCAAGTCCTCGTTATCATTTCTCTCTAAGTCGCGCCGCTCCAGGCTAAATTGCGTGTTTGGTCTCTCTCTTAACTGGACTTATTGAAGGTGCTGTCTCTTGTATCACTAAGAAACGACAAAGTTAGAAATTACTATACTCTCAGGAAATGAGAGATTTTGTCGCCTTTTCTCGTTTGTAATTTTGTTTTTATAAATCCGATTTTTTATATACCTACGCTTTAAAAAATTGCAAATTTTTGCCGCCCCTTTGCCGTCATGGGCTGCGGCCCATGTGGCCATCCCCTTAATCCGGCCCTGTTCGCTAATACCCTCGCTGCTGAAACGCAGCAACCTGGCAGCACTCAAAGTGGGACCATTCACCTGCCGATCACTGCCAACTGGGTTATATCAATACTCGGAATATTAATACGGACTTTGAACTTATTAAAAAAGACATAACCTTAGACTCCTGCGTTGTGCTGCGCTGCGTCGCGCGGTCAGTGACCCGCGGTGCGCGGTGGATGGATTCCAATTCGGCACTGACAATGAAGAGCCGAATCTTGCGCCGTAGCTCACACTCCCGCCCACCCCTTCACCATGTGTCGCGTACCCTTCAACCCCCACCGTCGTTTAGGGGTCAAGCCAACTACTTTGCACCCTTGAAACGTCCGTCGGCGGTTATTTCGGCCCCGTTGTAGGGATGGAGGCGGTCGTGCTGTCCTCGTCGGGCACGTAATGCTATTGTTTTACGTTCTCTTCCTTGTTGTTGGGGTCAAACTAGCCCTCGTTCTCATCAAGTGTTGTGGTTTCTTCATCAAGTTAATCTGTTGCGTGTGCTGCGGTGTCTCTTTCGTTTACGTTAGGTATCGTCTACTACGGCGCATACTTTAAATCAGCGAGAACGAAAACACACCAACTTGGAAAAATAAAAATAATCAAGACACACACAAAATTGCACAGAAGGTGAAGAAGTTAGTTTAAGAAAAAGATTTTTGCTGCCGAAAGGAAGTGCTTATGGACAGTTCAAAGGTCCGAGTTGGAACAGACGCGCTAACTTCAATGATCTTGTACGTAAATTAACTGCCTCAAATGGAAATTGAGCATTTTCGAGTGACCGAGTTGGTGTGTTTTCGTTCTCACTGATGCATTTTTGAACATTAGAAGTTTTCAGCATAAGTTATCACTGAAAAACAAAATGTGCCTCGCTCAAGCATGATGATTCTTGAATTTGCCGCCGAAAATTGTTTTTCTTCTTGATTCAAGCTGAATTTTTCTTGATACACGGGAAAATTGCTCAGGTTAAGCAAAAAAGTAGTTTATATTAAGCAGCAAAATTCTTGGTTCAAGGAAAAAGAATTCTTGGCGGCAAATTTAAGATTCCTTGTTTTTGCAGTGTAATTTTATAGGTTTTTCATACGTAAGTAAAATCGAATTTTCGATTTTCGCGAGAAAATCTAATAGTTGCATTTTCAAGTAAAGAGCAAGACACACATTAGGGTATTTCGTGAAATTTTTGTAATTTGCATGAAATAAAGAATCTGTACGCAAATTTTTTATCATATTATCTAAGAGTGCTTAAAGAGCTCATTTCGCAGAATTTTTTATGATTTTATTTCTTGATATGGGGAATAGTATAAAAATAGATTTACAAGTGATTTCAGGCACCTACAAATTCTTCAAACTAGAAAATTCCACAAAAATCACACATGGTAAAATTGGATGTTGAAGGGAAAACAATTAGTTTTGCATGGTGTTCATTCCTAGCATTCGTTTCCTATATACATGCAAAATAATTTTCTACAAGAAGTTTGGAATTGTGTCGGTGCCGCGTTTGAGCGATCATAATCTTGCCCTGGAAAATATGAAAAGGAGTTCAAATTTAAATGCTAAATATCGACCCTCTCCCCGCCCTCCTTGCCAAAGAATCGTGATTATTTGTGTCAGTTCTTCGATAATTACATAAATGTTCTCGCAATGGTGATAAGATAGGTAATGATTGTACACTGTCGCAAAAACGCGCGGAATAACAACTCACAAGAGTTCAGTGTAAGTTTTCTTTTATCACATGATAGTCTCGCCTAAAAAAATACTCGACGAATAATGTCAGAAAAAAATAATTATCGGCTGCAGTCTGGAGTAATTGAATAGGTATCTTTAAATTAAGTTTTAATGAACATTAGGTCAGACCGCTAATTGAGAGATCAGCATTGCCCTTTCAAACTCAGTCGGCAGCGATGGTTTGCTCCCAGGCGATGCGATAAAAATACGTTTTGGAATCAGCATCATGATTCGTGTCGTGGTAGACATACCAAATATTTGTTGATTCCACTTTGAACTTTTGAATTCTGTTGTGGCTCAGCAAAAAGAACGTCTGCACTGATTTTCGTCGGAAATAGCTTATATAATAAAGTAAGAGGAAATCCCTCGACCATTCCAAAACGCTTGAATGTCCTCTGATCGGTTAAATGTTGTCGACTAAAATTTTTAAAAAAAATATAGAAAATAATTTTAAAAAAACACTGTTCCTGATAGCCACAGAGCTTTTGCTTTTAACTTATAGACTCGCACTTTTGATTTTCGATAAAATAATACTTAGGTAGTCATCGAAATCAGATCTAACGGTATGAAAAAGAACGAATCGATAGTTAATCAATGAATCGCCACCACTACTGAATTGTTTTTTATTCTCTTTCCTTTTTTATCATTCCAAAAATCTCCGCAAGGTGTTAATTCAAAATATTTAGTCATCAACGGACATAATTCCGCAGCAATTTGCAAAAATTTAAAAGAACATGTACCTAATAATATTTTCGTCTTTCAACTTATATCTTAATTCATGTGAGTGGTCCAAATTAATGATATCCTCTATATTTTTCGAATAACAATCATGTACGACCATTGACCGACTAACGCACAATATGAATATTTGGCTCCAAAAGATCTTTTGAAAAGTTGTCTCAATTCCAAAATTCTTAGTGAGTATACTGCATTGAAAGCCTGATAGAGCTTAAAAATCACCGAACATGAAACGACCATTCTTGGGTATAAACTATCTAAGTTGTGCTTCCCAAGAAAAACCATTGGCGGATCCAGCGAATTGGCAACATTGTCTTTCCTCCATTTAAATCTATGGAAATGTATCGATTCTTGGAGGGGGCAGGGGCAGGCACTCCAACAAGAATCGATCATTTAGCATAGGTTTAACTGTAAGAAATTCGGTGTTGCCAAAGTGCTGGACCCGCCTCTAAAAAAATGACTATGGTAAGAGTTAGCTGCGTGTATTCAATTTTTTAAAGGAAAAATAAGCAAGAAAGTGTTATTTGAAGAATAGAGGCACAACAAATTTGAGATTTAAAAAAATCCGAAAAAATCCCCCCACATCACAAAGAACGATGAAAACTGATTGTAAGGATGGCGAGCCAACATGACTGTGCGTTGCATGTCCGTGTCGTGGGGTATTTTCTTTGTGTAAGCTGTCATTGGTTTTACTGATTTATTTCCCTATTTCAGGTGAGAATCAGCAAGACTGCTTGTAATTATTTGGGACTAAAAATTCATCTGCACAAATGCCGGCTGTGAGAATGACGGAGGCACACTGAGAGTGATCTCAACATTTACGTTTTTGGAGGATTTTGTTTTCAAGTGTTCACATCTTCAAGTTTACCTGAACTATTTAATTATTATAAAAATAATATATAATTAGCTCGTAGATCATACAGCAATAGCTCATGGTTACACATAATTTGAGAATCATACGGATATTCTCAATTAATTGAAAGTCTGTGCATAATTTTAAAGAAAAAATTGCTGACCAACAATGTTGAGTCCTAATTAATTGCAGCTGAATACTGCCTCGTATACGATACAAATTGAATACACGAAGGATTTGTCCCAGCTTTGTTATATTCTCCGGGCACCCTGGCGCGATGACAAATGAATTTTCAATGCTCCCTGACATCGGACCTCCAATCAAATGGCCCAGTTGAGATGTAGGTGAGTTAGAAGTATTTTTATGTAGATGTTTTACTGCATGTATCCTATATTTTAGCAAGCAAATGGCTCATATAGAGGATTAAGAAATTTCCTCTAATACAATCCGTTTTTTATCGGTAAACTTTGACTTTAATGACTCAGTTTGTCTCGAGATTTTTCAATGTTTTTTTATCCCAGATATCTGAAAAAGCCTCCCCCCCCCCTCTAGAGGTTAGCACCAGTAGCCTAGATTAGGATGTTTTGAAACCGAGTTACCCTCTCCTGTATACGATCACAAATCATTATTTCTGATACCATCTGATCAAAAGTATCTAAATTTTGCTTTTTTTATATATTCCCAATTTACACTAAATGTCAGATATAATAAGTAGTGCAACCAGATTTTCCATTTTCTTACACAAACGATAATTCGAGAGCTTCCGGAAAGAGCCCTGAATCCCTGCATACCCCTTTTTCCTGAAGTCGAATAAATTCGGTCAACATGACTTTATGCCAATCTTCAGTGATGAACGCAAACTAATTAAATATTTATTCCGGAATGTCTCAGGAAATTATGAAGCTCAGAGACCAGTGACACATTAAAACAAGTGCCTTCAAAATGGGATGTGGGGGATCAACACACCCGAGGGTCATGCGGCGTGAGGATTATCCCGCACGTAAGTTGCCTTCTACAGGCCGATTATTGAAACTGATAGACAAAGCTATAGACAAAGACAACAAAAAGGATTTGGAGGGATCCTATTGGTGGAAGCGGATGGTGGCAATGGACATAGGAGGTAGGTAATGGACTTACTATAACGGCAACCCACCAAAGACCCGACAGTTAGTCCTTCATTTTCTTCCTTAGTCTATGAGAACCAACCATGTCAACCAATAGGATCGCTCTATACTCCCTATGTCTTCTTTGTCTATCGCTTTGTCCATCAGTTTCAATAATCGGCCCGCTGCTCCGAGATAAACGTATCTCTAAAGGTTTTTTGTTTGTTTTTGTTTTGGACCTCATTTAGAGATATTTTTATAAGTTGATGACCTCTGCTGGAGATGTCTCTGATATCATTTTATTACAAATTTATTTCCCATAAAATATATGTCATAATAGAATGCAATTGTGAGCTGAGCTTTTAGCTGACTTAACAAATATAGTATGCAATAATTGCTACTAAGGTCATGCTTTAATAGAAAAACAATGTGCAAGAGGAGGTTGCACATCCTCTTGCAATTATTGCGATTATTGCAATAATTGCATGTTATATTTGTTAAGTCGGCTAATAGCTCAGCCTTTTATACCGCATAATGAGTAGCCGAAAACCTAAAAATCTTGTTAAAACGCAATTTTCAGCTCTCCAAAATTTAAGCGAAATGAGCGTGAGTACCCAACTACCCACTAACAGAGTCCTCTACATCAATTCATGTAATTTATTTACACTATTGCATCATTCGGTGAAATGAATGCAGCCCTTCACGAGTGATGCAACTTCTCGCGAATCTGACAATGTATATTTTGTTCTGGCTTACTCAAGATTTTTTAATCATTTCATGCGCCTGTTCATTGCCTCCTTTTTTTCAACGCTTATCTGAAAACTTTATCATTTTGAAAGGGAGATGAGCGTGCGAAGCTGCAAGTCAAAAATTTGGCCGCATTGTTCACAATAATGCGTTTATATATGTCGCATGGTAAATAGTAAAACCAGGCATTTTGTCAAATGCCTAGGCAAATAGTCAAATATTCTAGCTAAGATTGAAATTCTGATTCTTTTCCTAATTTTAGACAAAATAATTAATTGACCCCGTAAGAAAAAATTCTCAGTAAAAATTTGCTTCACAAAATAGTGTTTTAAACGAGTTTTAGCTCCTGAGTAGACACTTATCTGGAAATCTTCAGCATGTCAGAGAACACAGCATTTTTAGAATTTCAACATTTAAAAATACGAGAAGCAATTTAAGAGGAAGAGACAAAAAGAGTTTGTCAGTTTGATGAGATATTTTTCCACAAATACCGAAAACTCGTGAGCTCTCCGCTATAAATTCACAAAAATTTTTAGACGATCAAAATTTAGCTATCTGCCTAGGCATTTGACAAAATGCCTGATTTCACTATTTGCCTGCGACATATATGTATACGAGTAGCTTTACTTAACCAGGAAGAAGGTGTGTTTTCAGTGAGGGCTACTGAGAAAATTATATTATTTTTATTAAAAAATGACTGTTTCCTCTACTTTTGTACAGGAAGTGGGAAAAATATACGTATGTTTTCAATGTTGAGTACAATTCATTTTAAAGGAAAGAGAAAAAAAATAAAATAAAATAAAAGTCTTATACACCGCGTGATGAATTGTTGATGAATTTGAAAAACCGAATCTCAATGTAGTTTTCCGACCCTCATGTTTTGTGAGGGCAGGAATCAAATTTTTGCACGAGTATTTTGGGAATGTTTTTGAAAGATGAAAAAAAAATCGCATGAAGTTATGCTCATTTATAATGTTTGATTCTTCTTTATTAGAGTAGAGGCATGCAGGAAGTTTGGAACCTTTCAAACTTACATTCAGAGAGTTGCTCAGTTTTACAGTTGAGATGCTCGCTCACATAAATACATAATATTCGTTAATTTTAGCCGTGGCTTTTGAAGTACCCCTCGAAGAAGGAGAGGAAAGTTTGGTGAAGAAGCATCCTCCGAAAAGGCTCCAGCGACTAGAGGACCAGCAGTCACCGAACATTACAGCTAAAGATATCGAGTCGAAGCTAGCCGAGGCCGAGCAGAGAAGGCTCCAGGTATTACCTCATTGCAATTTTTAATAGACTAGTTAAAGTTACATTTATAGTCAGAGCTCTTTTTCATTGCAATTCAGAAGATCAATATAAAAAGGTAAAATTAGTCGCTGTTGTTTGAGATGATTAATATATGCATACACATTACGTACGTAAAAGAATTGCGTCTAGTTGAATTAATTGAAGCTATTGCCATTAAGTATTGGCCAGTTTTTGGGATCGAACACCATAATGTGCAGTGGCCTTTCATCTTCATTGACCGCTGCGGTAAGGTTCCTGTCGGTGATTTTGCTTCGGAATGCCTATACAACTACACAGGAAGCTGTGTGCGAAAGGGAAATTAATCCCATTCATTTTTTAAGATAAGCAACAAGGATTGCCATCGAGCGAGCCCAATTGGATCGCATTTAGCAAAAAGGAACCATCGCGATTACAGTGTTTTAAAAATGTTGCATCTTCATAAGCATCTACAAATATCCCAGAATAGTAAATATTCTTTGTTTTTTCACCAAAAAATTGTTTACTGTAAAGGAAAATAATTGTGTAAATTTCAATACTGTCCATAAATTGAGTATTTTTTTCTTTTTTTTAAAAAAAAGAAGTTGCACGATTTTGAAAACACTGCAATTGCGTTAGCTCTTATTTTCTGAATGCGATCTAATTGTGCTCTAACTTCAAGTATAAAAGCGATTTAAAACGACAAGAAATACATACGTCACTCCTTAGCTCACGGAAAACCATTTCGCCTTCAATTTTTTGATTATACGACACTAACGTCCATGAAGCACAAATAGTTGCATCAAGCAGGCGTGGAGTTGAGAGTGAATAAAAACGACCAGGCGCGCATACGCATTACTCCTATGATTAGTCAAAGCGCTTTCATTTCTTCGATGGGCATCACGAATGAATGCGTATAATGGAGAAGTTGCATGTGTGAGGAATTTGCGATTTGACTGTTGATTCTTAGGTAAAAGTTCACGAGAAAGACGATGGTGCCACTGGTTTTCTCTGAAATTAACTTCCAACCTCAAAAAAAGCTCTCAAGTTGAGGTTAAAATGGAGGGGATATCCCACGCTATCCTGAGAGTCCACATCTACATCAAGACAAACTCTCCATCTCCATGCAAAGATAGGGAGCAAATACATTGTCAGGGCTGCCACTTTATCAGGGGACTCCAAAACTGAAAACACGGCAACCCTGATAATGTATTTGCTCCCTATCTTTGCATGGAGAGTTTGTCTTGATGTATAGGTGGACTCTCAGGATAGCGTGGGATATCCTCTCCATTTTGGCCTCGACTTGAGAGCTTTTTTTGAGCTTGGGAGTGGATTTCAGAGAAAACCAGTGGCACCATAGTGTTTCTCGCGAATTTTTACACAAGAATCAACAGTCAAATCGCAAATCCCTCACACATGCAACACCTCCATTTTATCTTGGCCCTACGCTCAGTCCATCAGTTCATGCGATTAAGATATTACTGAAACGAGGCCGTACATCTGATGGACAGCCCCATTTTGATCGTTTCCCTACCCTTACAATGGGTCAGTTGCACTCGTATTGGAATCGTGTTTTGATGCTTGATTCTTGTAGATTAGCTAAAAATAATCAGATCTCTCCAAACGGCAACATTCTACGTTCAGTATTAACCGAGATATCATGCACCCTTTGACAAGGCGGGCTTCTGACGCCGCACGATCCACCGCGGTAGTGACACCCTTGCGCCCAGATGAAAGCAATATGGCAGAAACCAAGGGTGTCACTACCGCGGTGGATGACGTCAGAAACCCGGCTTCTCAAAGAACTATATCTCGGTTAATACTAAACGTTCGTAAACAGTTGCGGATATTCTGGTCGAATTTCGCTTTTTCCGATCAATGCCCTGGTAAAAATTGGCGATAGGAGCTGCGTTTCAAAATACCGTAATTAGGAGTTCTTATAGCCGACTACAGAGAAGGCTATTGAAAATCATATAGCTGGCTGTAGAGAGCGGAGCAAATCATATGGCCGGGCTATACGAAGCTATAAAAAAGTATACAGTCGGGCTATAGCTCCTATCCCTGGGCTTTACACTTTATCACCATTGGCTATAAAAGGCTATAAGAAATTGTGTAGAAATTCGTGTGCTTTGGAAATCATTAAGTTTGATACGGAACTACCTTAATATTTACAAAACACACATTATATTTTCCTTTAAAACATATGTTTTTCATCAATTAAAATAAGAATAATCCATACAGAGTGTTGCAAACATTTCAAAATCATGAGTTATAAAATGCTGACTCCGCGAGATTAAATATTAGAGCCTAACACAAAGCGGAACGGCGACGCACTGGCGCCTACAAACCTAACAGGGATACTTCACGCATTGCGCAATGCGTGAAGTATCCCTGTTAGGTTAGTAGGCGCCGCGCCGCAGCGTGCCACGCCACGGCGTCTGAAGCAACTATTTCACACCAAAGGTATTGCACAGTATTATAAGAAATTGAAGGCGCTCCAACATATTTAGAATGACAGGCATCCTTCAAAAGTACGGAGCTGTCCTCGCAAAATAAATCAAAGATACTACGGCACAAACAGAGAGCGGTAGTCCACAAACTAACTAAGTCCTAGTATCCGTATTTAGTAACGTTTAGCATAAACTTCATCGTCTGGCTGTTGCCTAGTCGCCATCGGCTATAAAAGGCTATAAGAAATTGTACAGCCGGCTACAGAAGCGATTGGAAATCTTACAGCCGGCTTTCGGTCTATGGTATTTTGGAACACAGTTTCTACCGTCAATTTTTACCAGGGCGAGGAGGAATCATTTTGCTAGGTACTGTTAACAGGTATACTAATAAAAACTTCTTTCCTCCTACAAATTCAGGTTTTTTTGATGCAATAAAAAATTAAAAATTAAAAATCATCAAAAAAAAAAAAAATACAGCGTAAAACTGTCACTTTAGTAGTATCTCGAAGATAATCCTGTTTGGCCTCTAAATATAGATATTTTCTTGCAGATTTTGAACCAACGAATCCAGTCTGCGAAGGCGGCGGTAAAAGCCGTGAAGAAGCCCTCAAAGCCCGAAGAATAAACGAATTAAAATATGAGAGTGCCTTCAATACCCACTGGAGGAATCAAGAGAGATATACTATACCTACAGACTAGTAAACATGCGTACTTTGCGTTACTTGTTAAATATAATAGTAAATTTTTGTAATAAGTGTGTGGTATGTGACGCTGTGGAAAACAAAATCTTTCAGCCTTCCAAGTGATAAGTGTACTCCAAAAGCTTGGAGCTTGCAATTTTGAGATTAATCTTCATCACATTTCTTCAGGTCGCAAGTATCAGTAGCGAGGGGTAAATCACAGGCTATGTATCGATATATTTGCATTTGAAATTATAGTAAAGAATCGATTAGGTATCAACGATTTCGTCGCGAACTCCCTGCTAATCGATCCTTTTCCATAGGTTTATATGGAAGATTCATCGTTCATCCCCATTGATAGGCATTTGAATGCATGATTAAACCGCCGATTAAAAATACTGCCGTTGAAGACAGGCGGCTTTAGAAAAATGAATTTACAGGGGGAGAGGCAAGAGGGCAGGCTCCCCTTCCGTCCTGAACCAGTAACTTGACTTTTGACAAGCAATTCTGGCCGATTTTTAAGCGTTTTATTTTTTTAGTTACCCACGTTGAAGTTTCGCCCCAATGCAAGTTGGACTGAGGAAGCGTCCCTTCATTCGATGGCTACCAAATCTTGGAGCTCTCTGATTTGTTGAGAAAAGACATGATCTTTGACAAACCGGAGGCCAGGATTCTGTAATCTGTAACTTTAAGTTGCTACCAATTTGCGCACTCGTTCGTTTCTTAAATTTTGAATTCTGAACTTTCCTTATTTTAGCCTCAGAATTCGAACATGCGTCACCGTTTTTTGAAACTGAATTTTCATTGACCAAGAGAGAAACTTGCACAAATTTAGCAACACGCGAAGGCACATAGGATGTTTTGAATTCGAACTGTTAGTATCCATTTACGCTTAGTCGCTACCGTGCTTAATGTGACCCTCTTATATCGTTACTTCTTTAATCAGGTTTTCAGATGGAGAATCGTCAGTGTATCATATCATAATCTCATGAACTAATTTTGAACCTAGCAACGCCTATGACTCTTTATTGATTTATTCGTTGATTTATTTCTTCATTTATTAATTCATTTTTTACTGTACTCTTTTGTAAGGTTGGAGAGAAAATTCAATTTTATAACCTCCTCCAGTACCTTTGATGAGAATGAATATGTCGCAGGAAAATAGCAAAATCAGGCATTTTGTCAAATGCCTAGGCAAATAGTCAAATATTCTAACTTAGATTAAAATTCTGATTCTTTTCCTAATTTCAGACAAAATAATTCATTGCTCCTAAAAGAAAAAATTCTCAGTAAAAATTTACACACATAATAGTATTTTAAACAAGTTTTAGCTCCTGAAGAGACACTGATCTTGACATTTTCAGTAGGTCGTAAAATACAGAATTTTTGGAATTTCAACATTTGAAAATATGAGAGGCAATTGAAGAGGAAGAGACCAAAAGAGTTCGTAGGTTTGATGAGTTATTTTTCCCAAAATAGTGAAAAATCGTGAGTTCTTCGCCATAAATTCATAAAATTTTGTGGACCGTCAAAATTTGACTATCAGCCTAGGCATTTGACAAAATGCCTGATTTCACTATTTGCCTGCGACAAATACATGTTGGGTTGTCGTCTATTTTTGCGACGGTCAATTTTCCCTCCTTAGATGCGTCGCAATGCAAGCTCACCGGTGAACTCGCCGAAATTTCCTCTGTGACGTCACCGGGAATGCCGGTGACGTCACCGATCGCGAAGCGGGGATTTAACGACGCTCAATACGCATCCCATCGACATCTAGGCGTGATCGATACGTCTACTGATAATTCTTAGGCCTGTGTGATTAACTATTACAAATTATTGATCATGTATTTTATAATTATGATAGTATTTTTTTTCCTTTTTTTATCTAAAGTAAGCTCATATTTTAATAAAATTTAAATTTACGAAATACACTAAGTTTTTATAGTTAATTGACTATTATATTTTCTTGATTACCTATTTTCACCTCAACATAACTCTATAGTTGTATCATTGCGCCTTAGAAATGCGACGGAAGATTACAATTGAAATAGCCTTCATGCACGCTGGCCTTTTCGATTTCCGTTAACATTTTTGCAGTCATGAATGCGCTTATGTGCGCTTCAGCTAGAATTGTATTTAGCAAATGGGTGGTTTTTATAGGAGGATTAAAAATAAACAAGTGGAACGGAATATAACAAAAGAATATGAACTATGCAAAACGATAATCCGGATAGCGGAACTTGGCTGTTTTGAAAATGCCTTCAAATTCGGCGTGATATCTCACGCATTCCGGAGAGTTCAAATAGTTGTATCATTGCGCCTTATAAATGCGACGGAAGATTACAATCGAAATTGCCTCCATGCACGCTGGGCTTGTCGATTTCCTTTGACATTTTTGCAGTGGTGAATGCACAGCTGAAGTGCGCTTCAGCTAGAATTGCATTTAGCAAATGGGTGGTTTTTGTAGGAGGATTATAATTAAACAAGTGGTTAGAAATGGAAACAAAATAATATCAACTATGCAAAACGATAATCCGGAAATCGGAACTTGGCTGAATTGAAAACGCCTTGTGAAAAGTGTCAAAGGAAATCGACAAGCCCAGCGTGCATGGAGGCTATTTCGATTATAATCTTCCAACACATTTCTAAGGCGCAATCATACAACTATTTGAACCCTCCGGAATGCGTGAGGTATCACGCCGAATTTGAAGGCGTTTTCAAAACAGCCAAGTTCCGCCATCCGGATTACCGTTTTGCATAGTTCATATTCTTTTCTTATATTCCGTTCCACTTGTTTATTCTTAATCCTCCTATAAAAACCACCCATTTGCTAAATACAATTCTAGCTGAAGCGCACTTAAGCGCATTCATGACTGCAAAAATGTTAACGGAAATCGAAAAGGCCAGCGTGCATGAAGGCTATTTCAATTGTAATCTTCCGTCGCATTTCTAAGGCGCAATGATACAACTATTTGAACTCTCCGGAATGCGTGAGGTATCACGCCGCATTTGAAGGCGTTTTCAAATCAGCCGAAGTTTCGATACCCGGATTATCGTTATGAATAGTTCATAGTATTTTGTTTTCATTTCTAACCACTTGTTTATTTATAATCCTCCTTTAAAAATTACCCATTTGCTATATACAATTCTAGCTGAAGCGCACTTCCGCTATGCATTCACCACTGCAAAAATGTCAAAGGAAATCGACAAGCCCAGCATGCATGAAGGCAGGCCCGCCACAAGGGGGGGATACTGGGACTGGGTCCCTGGTACCGGGGCCCGGGCCTCAGAGGGGGCCCGTGTTACCCGTGAAAAACCACTACGAATTCACAGGCAACCCTTGTTTCGCAAGAAAAAGTGAAAAATTTATTTGAACTCTCCGGAATGCGTGAGGTATCACGCCGCATTTGAAGGCGTTTTCAAATCAGCCAAGTTCCGATACCCGGATTATCGTTTTGCATAGTTCATATTATTTTGTTTCCATTTCTAACCACTTGTTTAATTATAGTCCTCATATAAAAACCACCCATTTGCTAAGTACAATTTTAGCGGTGAAAGAAAAGAAAAAGTGAAAAATTTTCGCAAAACGTGAATAGATTTTCAGAAACACGCTGGGACACTGTAGAATTCTTCTTAAATTTTCAAAGAAGTATACTTCTTGGAAAATTTCTATCTATTTTCAAGATTTTCAGTACAGAGGGATATTTTCACTAAAATTTCTCGGGGGATGCCCCCCGGACCCCCCCCTCCCCCCCTCTCCGTGCTTGGGGCTCGGACTTTAAAACTGGTACCAAGGCCCGAGATGGGATGTGGCGGGCCTGAGTGTGAAAGGTGCGCACGGCGCAACGCGTGCTGAGCGTCAAAGCGCCTTCAATTTCACAGGATACTGTGCAATACATCCGTGCCGGAATAGTTGTTCGTAGCGCCGTGAACGATCTCGCCCGAGCGCTTGCCGCACAGTGTACAGTTACGGCAGGATAACTATGTTTTCGAATAGTTTGCTATTCGTGCTCCTCGGTGAAGTCGTTATGTACTCTTCATAAGTGGCGAGGCGTGCTATGCGATACATCGATTAATCTGCCATTTTAACCTGGGGAAAAGTATCGATAACAGGGTGTTCGTAGCGAACACCTTAATAATCGATCATTTACTACAGCTGTAAATGGGGAAATATCGATATATACGCCTGATGCAGCCGCTCCTTATGTGCGCCTCTATAGGTATCCAATTCTGAAATTCCTCTCATAATTTTCTCAAAAGGAGACCAACCATGGTAGTTCCCTTTTTATACATATTCGGAAATTTTCTTCACTCATTCACAAATACCGATCAAAAAACTCATAGATATATTTGGGCAGCTACTTCTTTTTTAAAAAAAACAAAGCATGATCGAAGGAAATGAAATGCACGTTGCAACATAAAAATAAGCATTTCGATCGCATAGTCATCGTAATATTCAACAGAACTGAGAAGGAAAAGTGCATAAAATCCATTTCCTAATTTTCCTTTCAAAAATTTCACTTGCAAACACCGAGAAGAGATTTTAAGCAGTTTTCTTTCAGGTACATAAATATAACACAATCTATATTTTTTGAACAATGCAAAATATATTTATTTCATTACATCCCTACGCATTTTACGACTTCAGGCGTCGATGTTTGAAGTCATTTAAGAGCCCCCCCCCTTCCCGCCTACCCGACCCACATTTTAATATGCAAAATAATATACCAAGCCTTAATTTACTACTCACTTTACATTTTTTTTTGTGTTCTTACTTTCCCCTCCCTCCGAGAAGTACATACTATTTATTTACATGGAGCCCATCGCTGTGCTTGAGCAGCTGATTTCCAACAGAGTTGCCAAATATATAAAAATAAACGATTAACTTAGCCTTCACCCGATGAGTCTTATAAACAATACGATGTAAAATAATGATTACCCGAAATATACTTAACAAATTCCAAGGCATTGCTTGGATATAATTTTAAACTTGATGACATCAGCCTCTAATTTCTCTTAAAATTAATGTAGTAAGTATGATTTCATTATGTATTATTCCTCGATAAGATTTAAAAAAATATTTCATTTCAAACAAAGGCATCTCCAACCGTCAATGCACAATTACGCAACCTTGCAAAGTCAGGAGTTGAGCAATGGCCGTATGATTTCTCCTGTCGCTACCTTTTTGTTCCATCTTTTATTAGTTATTTTAAAGTTATATTAGGTCCGTGATAGTAGGTTTTAGTCTGTATTGACAAAATTAATATGCATTTAGTTTCTGTTAGTACGTCGCATTATATTACCCGGAGAATTCTTTATATTTAAATTTGTTGGCCTATTTTGTTAGCAAAGCCATTTACTTGATCCTCCATTACCGTTAAATTTTCGGTTTAGTCTTACCTATTTTAAACGTTTGTGGTGCGAGTTTTACCAATTTTGTGATCCTAAGTGAAAAATACCGGATTCGCTCTCTCACGGTGATCATTTTCGTGATCGTTTATTTTTGTATGCGTTCAAAGTTCGTTATCCTTCCGAGTCCTTTGTTTCCTTATCCCAAGCTCATCCGGAGTAGGGACCTATGTTCTAAATTAGTAAGAAAGTTTCATTTTTACGGCTCGGAAAATCGGGACGCGAAGATGAATTCAACTCCTAAAAACTACAGTTTACTGTGAAACTCGAAGCGTGCTACGATCCCCGGCTTCTCAGTTCAATTGTTCATCTATGGTAAGTGCCAATTTCGCTTCATCACACTGAGCTACCCCTGTTCTCAATTTGTGTTCAGCTCTTTGATAAACATCATATTATCAGCTACCTCTATGATATCTTGAATACACAAAACGAGCAGTTCGTTTATGTCTCTCAGTAACTTTTCACCACATCTCCCATCACTTTCTAGTCTCTAAGGCCCCAAACCTCTCTGATCAAAACTCATTGTCCGATGCATCTCCTAAAAATTCAGCGCTTTCATAATGACCAGGTAATGCCTTTTATGAAATGATTTTTTCCTCACTCCTCACCCTTACTTTCAAGTTTTATGAGAGCACTTTATTTCACCAAAATCAGGAAGATGTCTGGTCTGTCTTTCTTTATGATACCGTTAGTTATCCGAGGTGAATGAAGTATTTAGTCAAATTTCAAGTTGCGGCTGGTTGAACCTCTAATCAAATGTCTCCTAGCCTTTGTATTTGAATTGACGGTTAGATTTCACTTCTGCCGTAATGAACAATCAAACCTTTCATCTGCGTGTTCAATCATGCAAGGGACATGAACTGTCTGAAGACAAGAAAAATCGTTCTGAAAATTTTAGCAGAATTTTGAGTTGCATTTATTTTTATAGTCTTAAAAGTTAACTTAATACCAACATTGCTTCTGTCTTTCCTTGTTGAACCAATGAGTGTTTAGAGCTGTTAACATAATACAGTGCCGTAAATTTACTGAAGCAGTCAGGCTGATAATCATAAGAAATGGCAGCTTTTTTCAATGTAATTATAGCGCAAAACGGAACTCATTTCAACAACTTACCGCAGAGGCTATGCATCTCGTTTTGCAGCATTCCGTTAAATTTCATTTCTGAAAACAGGTCAATTAGCCCATGTATTTCTTTGAAAATTAATGTAATTTTTCTTACATCTACAGAGTAATCAGTGAACATTTAAAGTAATTAATTGGGCTTGTTTCCCTTTCATTAGCGAGAGTACAAGATAGGATTTTAAAGCTTTGAAGCTCGATTGCATTGAGATTAATGGTTCCAAATTTGAGATTGGTGCTGTACTTTTCAAGTTCAGTAACCCTACTTCACCCTCTTCTGAATTATCTAGAGTTCATAGTCCTGTCCGTTCCCACTATTTGGATACACTTAAACCCCTCTATCCTTTAATTACCTACAACTTTGGATTGATACGGTCTTCTCTAGAACACTAAGGATTTATTGTTTGATCACTTGGAATAGGTCCCAACTAGATTTAATATTTTTCATAACCAATAGCATTACATTTAGTATGAAATAGAATACAATTTTTAATATCATAATATTTTTTATTTGCTAAATCATCATAGCTGCCTTCAAACAGGGATAACTTCTTTGTTCTCACTGTTGTTGTAAAGTCTGGGCTGCGATTACTAATCCATATCGATGGTGTAAGTTGGAAATCCCATATCTCGGTTTGCGATGTTGCAGACTTCCTGTCATACTTTATTTTTTATACGGAAATCTACTCATTGGCAATGCTTTATAACTGCCGTGACTTTCCTTTGCTGCGGAAGAAAATTCGACATAAACTTCTAGGAATCATGTCAATTTGTTCTCCTTTCAAAAAATAACATAGAGGCGGAGATTTTTAGACACCGCAAATGAGATATGTGATGGTGGACTTAAGCCGTCAATATACTTTTTGGAAATGATGATTACAGGTAACAACATGTAACCCTCCTGATTGGTGCTTACATTTCAGTAATTTTGCCTTTAAAGTTTTCTCTTTGTTAAAGTAGGTATGTGAGCAATTCTCAAAATATCTTAGAGAATCTTCGTGTCTCCTCCACATTCATAAATTTTATGCCCCCAACCAATCAAATGTTCAAGTTTCAATTGCTTTTCTTTAGTTGAATGGTAGAATGTTCATAAAATTTGATGTACTGATTTTCCTCTTAAATATACCAATAGATGTCAGTAAGTATTTGCAGCTGTTGTCTCTGTGTGATAAGATAAGAATTAGACTGCAAATTTGTCAGAAGAGCGCACTCTTCATTCTATTGAAAGAAGGGAGGTACTGATATAACTTAAGTCAATATTGTTGAGGATTTTGAGAGAATGCTTCATTGTAGTTAGATAGCAAGATTTTAAATTTTTAACCGTCAATTATGTATCCTTAGATTCTGATACACTTGAGTTCTAATATTCAAATGCGGATAATCAGCCAGAGGCTTATCAACTATCTAACTGTCCTCTAAGTGTTTCCATTGTTGAAGAGTTAGAATTTTCTCAATTAGGTACTTAAGTGTAAGAACTTTAATTACTTAACCCTTTCTCAAGGAAACCAAGTACTTATTTTCGAGAAGATTTAGTATCAGATCAAAATTTCTCTTTTTAATTTTCATTGGAAGAGTTTATATCGTGTAGGTATGTGAATTGATGTCTAGTCTCACTAGAAAATCCTAGATATTTATTTTGAGGCTCCAAAATTTCTGCTCAGGTCTCATCTTATTTTTTGGGAAGTGACAAAACCAACTCCATCTTTGAAATTTTCAGAAAATATTCTTACATTAGCGAAAGAAGTCCAAAAATTTTATTAGAGATGACCAAAATAGGATGTCATCAAATTATTAAGCATGACGGGAAGTGTTCAACACTCTAGACGGAGAATTGTATTTTTCTAACTTTATCATTAATATCGCTGTTAGTCAACCTTCACTTTCACTAGTCAATATTGTCTGATGGATGTTCCGACTGCGGTATCTGATTCCACCATTATCCTTTTGATTGTGGGCAGACAGAGATAGTAGAGCTCCTGTATCAAGGTTCACTTGACTCTTAGTCTTGTATTTGAAGTGCCAAACCAATTATGGAACTCAGGCCTGTGACTTGTTTATCAGGATTGAATTGTGTAGGAGTTGCCGATGAGATGCTATAGCCAGGTCTTATCATTACTTAATTGATAGCCTTGAGCAGGACTTTTGATCATGTTCTAAGGAAAGAAATTCATGTGTTCTCAATCAAATTAGTTTGAACCACTGTTGTCTTTTCACATGGAATTCTTCATTTCTGCGATAATTACTCTTTGTAAGGAATGAAAACTCGGAAGACTTGTACACATTACCCTATTAACTTTCCATGTTTATTATCTAGAGTAAATGAGATTTCAAGTAATGAAAGTTAATAATTTCAGAGCCAAACCAAAAAAAAAGTAAATTTGGATACGGAGTCCAACTTTGTCCCGATATTTGAATGAACAGTTTTATTAAAACTGTTTACGATGCCTTTCTAAGACATTTTTGTGAAATGGCATCAACTGAATAATTTTTCTCAAAGTTGAGTTTAATTTTCAAAGATTAAGTTAAAAAATCATTATTTTCTTCCAAGATCAAAAGTGTGTTAGCATAAGTACTCACTAGAATAATGTAAAATGTACTTGCTGAAGAAATATTTAAAAAAAAATTTCCTCTTCTTTTCAATTATCTCGGAGAGTTTCTCGTAGATTTTAAGTGCATTTCCCTGTATGAAGAAGTTTCTAAATTTTCATGTTTGCTTTCAGGTGTGTGGCGAAGATGAATAATGCCATGTTGCCTGAAGCTTTAAAACCTCTGGTGGCAGAGCTGCAAGAGGCATTGGCTTTGGAGCATAAATTTGTGCCAAACTTACAGTTGATCTCAGTCAGCCAGGTTTGTATCAGCTTGTTGAATTTATTTAAGTGTATTTGGATATTATCGTTCCAAACTGTAATTACACAGTCCTACTTTGTAGTGATTATATGATCAGGAAGTCCTAGGTTTGATTCATGGCTGAATGGGTTTAAGTTTGATGGTCTCGCAAGGTTCAAAGCAAGTTGATGACGAGGGATTAAGTTAAAGAGCTCCTAGCGCAGGTTCAGCCCCTGAAGGCTTTCTGAAGTATTCAGGTAGTATAAAAAGCGAATTGCTAAATCATATTTCAAATGTGATTACTTACAGATAAGAGACTCAAGGTATAATATTCCACGTGTCCATAATATGGCCGAAACAATTATTTGTTCACCGAATTCTCATCAGTGTCAGTATCATTAAAATCATGTTTAAGAACAAGAACGTTTTTTAAAATATTCGATAATATTAATATTTCTGATGATGGGTTCTGCCCAAAAAGCGTCTAAATTATTATAAGATAAGGACTTCTACAGCTAAATTATAGAAGAAAATAAAATTTCCTAGATAAATTTCAAATTTTAAATAGAGTGGCATTATCAGTAAATTAGGTAGAGGGCTGTGGATAACCAAGCACCAGAGCGGAATAAATTACTCTAATGTGAAAAAGTTGTTTCTAAGTCTTAAGGCTAAGAATAAAGGGAAGATTCTTCATGCCAGCAAAATCACTCCCAAATAAGAAATTGGTAATGTGCAGGCTAGATGGTAGAAAGCAATAACAGGTTTTAACCCCGCATCCATCTCAAGACTCAATTTCTCAAAAATGTCATCAGGATATGAAAACTTTTAAGGTGAGGTATTGCCCAGTGTTTCAGTGAAGTAAATCAAAATATAAATACCTAAATAAATTAAAAACGAAAAAACTCTTGTCATTGAGATGGATCAAGTTAAAATTAGTCCTTTTATTAATTAGAGTAGTCAGATGTTACCTACTTAGCTTTTACGGCTTTTGACTGTTGTGAAGCTTTGCTGCAACACTGGTGACATCTTAATATCTCAATCACTGAAAGTAGCCTGCTGAACTGTCCTTTTGAATGAACTATCAAACTATTACTTTTGCTCCAAAATTTCTTGTATGGAATTTAAATGTCTGTTTCTCTTTTTTTCATCAGGAGGGAGGCGATATAACCAATGGGATCCGAGATGGCTCTGCTCATGTCTTACGATGTCTGAAAGTTTGGTACGATTTACCAGCAGATGTTCTTTTCACCGCCATTAATTATATGGATTGCTTCTTGACAAAGATGAGAGTAAGTACCTGTCATACTCTTATTTCTCCATTTTCATGGTCAAGTATCTTAAGAAGTTCTTTAATTTCTCACTGAATTCTGTAAAGACTTTTAATGAGGGCCCACAGCATAATTGTTTATACTTTGATAACGGCATTAGTAAGTTCGGGGGAGAAAGTTAATCCATCGAAAATCTGAAGTTGCGGTGATTGTGTCACCTTATTTATTAATAATATTAACCAAGCAACATTGCTTCATGGAACGAAGTGATCAACCAATTATAAACTGTCAACAAGTCAGAAGAACAGCTTTCAGCTCTGGGAACTAGCGATCGAGAACTCAATTTTAAGGTTATGTTTATATCAATAACTAAGCATGTAAATGAAATGTGATTTCACACCCAAAATAAGTTAGGTGCAATTTCCAAAAATTTCCCATCAAAACGTTTCCATTTACCCATACTTACCGCCGTCAACCTCACAACATATTTCTTCTATTTTGAGGAAGTGCAACCTGTTTTTGCACTATTTTCTCCTCTACGTAATAAAGTGCAATAATGTTCTTTGAGAGTTTCTACATTGGGGTGTTCAAACAAATTCTTGATGGAACGCTATTGGTTTCGTCTCTTACCGAAACTGGTGGCAGTATCGACAGTTGCGATGATATCGTTAACAGCCTGCCTTATTGGAGTTTTGAGGGCTCGCACTCAATGCATTGTTGCCTCGTGTGTCGGTTTGTCTGATGGCCTGGCGCGGCGGCGCGTAAAATAGATGTACAAATGGCAACAGCTTATTTTCGTTTGCTCTGAAAACTAAGATCGCTATCGGTAAGAGCGCTCTTATCGTAACTTTTTTTTGATGGAACTGTTCCGGTAGCTTACCAACAACTGATAGAACAGTCCTATTTCTACGTATGTGTTTTAAAAGAGAAAAATTAACTGAAAACTTTGGGCCACTATCTTTTCTCAGAAAGGAAGGGTTTATGGAAAAGGTTGGGTATTTTAAATTTAGAGTTGCTGCAATACATCTATCCTCCCTGAATCAATAATTTTTTTAAATGTTAATTTTTTATATTAATTATTGTGTTACAGGTCAAACCTAAATTTATGGCCTGCATCTCTGTTGCGTGTTTCCAACTAGCCTGCACAGTTGTTCCCGGAGTCACTGTGCCAGATGCTACAGACTTAGTTAGCATTTCGCAGTGCAAATGCTCTGCAAGTGATCTAGCCCGTATGCAGTCGATCATCTCCTCTAAGCTTGGAATACATCCAGATAGGCCACCTATCACATCAGCTACTTTACTTCGATTATATCATAAGTTATTCACAGCTGTCGATGCGAGCGGCCTTTATTCACGGTACCCTTTATGATAAAATTTTGAAGATAAAAAGTTTAGATCTTGGGGGAAACTTGAATTTAATTTTCCTCTGTTGCCTTGGTTCTCTCATTTCTACATAGTGTTCTAAAAGTATTGTTACCAACTCTGTCATGAGCCAACGAATGAAGCTAACAAATTGTAAGTTGGATGAGCCTGAAGATAACTTCATTAGATTTTCTACATGACCTCATGAAGCTCCAAAATTTACAAGCTTATAGTGATATTGAATTTTACAGAATTTTTAATAGGAGAAAAACAAAGTAGTGGCAATTAGGTGCCGCAGAGCGCCCGGATTCGCTGTAAAGCGACTCAAATGTTTGTAGAAAAACAAAGTTAAGTGGAATTCAGCCCCACCAAAGCAAAATGCTGACAATTAGTGTTACCGTCAAGTGTTTCACTCTTGTATAGGACTCGTTGCTGAGAAACGATTAGAATTTATGCATCAAGATAATGAGCGTCTGCATTTGTTACAGTTTCCCGGTGCCTGATCTTTGGATTATGGCGAAGCAACTTTTTTTCTTTGAGGCACTTTTAATAGTGATGAACTCACTTTTTTTATTTTTCACTTGACAAAGCAGGGTGGATTTAACACTTTATGTGAGGCAAATCTGAAATTTTTCTGTAGGCAACAGTTCCGGATCACAAAAAGCGATCAGCATTTTGGAACTTTTGCACCCTCAGATAGCTTTTGGCACCAAATTCCTGAGAAACTTATCTGTGACTGTCCCTAAGTCATTGGCTTTAAAAATATCATATTTGAGTCATCAGCACAATTCAAAGATGAGCTTCTGTACAAACATTTTGAGACATATTGGTAAAACGAACCAAGTAATAAGGGTCTCAAGTTTGCAGTTCAAAAAACATAGTTTTTGAAGTGAAGGAGAAATGCTCTCAAGTCTGGCTCAAATCATTCATTTTCGCCTTGTGTAGGTACCAAAATCAACTATATTACGTTTAAAGAGAAAAAAAATGGAATAACAAACAATACCGATCTAGGCAAGTCAGTTATTTCTGAAGATGAGTTTTGGAGCTATTCTCTGGAGTGACGTGAAGCTGGCTGTTTTTGTGGCAGGAAATTGAAATGCAATGTATTTCTTATGGGAGCAGCCAATGTGACGTCACATTTTTAGGCGGGGGAGTGGATTTTAGAAAGATGCATAATGACTGACCTGTGTAGTTTGGTCTGTATAACAATGTTAAAAATCCGACCGAAGTCAGAATTTCAGTCTTGAAGGAGGGACCACAGGGTCGTCGTTTACTTTAATTTATTTTGTGAACTTGAGTTTTCTATTTTCTGATTGTTCTTTCTTATCAATTTAGTTCATAGTTCGTTGACTTGTTTCTCTTGTTAGTTTTAGACTTGGTTTTGTTCTTATTGCTTTGGATTTATCCTTTGGCAGGGTTTCCAGTGGTCTGGACTGGAAAATCTGAAAAGTCAGGGAATTATGCAAGCAGCAGTTAGCATAAGTCAGCAAGATTGAAAGGAAAAAATTGTAGCAGTTTTGCTCAAAGTTCAGAGAAAGTCAGAGGATTAAAAAAATTTGGTATTGGAGATAAAAGCAAATATTTTCTGCAGGAAACAGGGAAGAAGGGAGCTGGAAAATGAAGAAATTATGGAAATCCTGTTGTCGGTGTTTATCCAAGCACAATCCCTCTAATGTTAGATTTGGCATTGAATCCTAACATTGCCGACATGCATAGCTCTTTAAGGATCTACCCTAAATGAATACCCTCCTTATGATTTCAGTGTTGTGGAAGAATCAAGCTTACATCAGCATCTTGAGATAATCGCATGTGACACCTCTTGCGCAAATTTTAGGCCCAGTGAAATAGCTCTGGTTTTAATCTGTTCACAAATGGATCTCGGCGTGGCACGCTTATCTACTCCTCATCCAATGATCACAACACTAATGACTTTTGCAACCAACTTACAACACCTTTGCAAGGTACTGACTTGAATTATTTTTGTAACCTTCATCAACATTTTAGTGCGAAGTTTAAAGCCATCCTTAGACTCATTATATCGTCTTGTTGTTACTTCCATCATTCAATTTTGCTCACATGGTGGGAAAACAGTTCTATGAAATGTTTTAAGACATAATTATTGTGAAAGTTGAAAAGAAACATATCTTGCTTTGGAGTAATATATGGATCATATCCAATACATCAAACAGGCATACTATCATTAAAATAGTATAGCATTAACAGCAAGATACCACTTATACTGAGATATTATAGCACAAATGAGATAGTACATGTAACAAGGTGAAGAAATGGTGCTGGGTCCACACCATTTCGCGGGGAAATCAAAGCCAAGAAGTTTCAAAAATTATAATTAGAGTCAAAAATAATTTTTTTAACTCTGATGAGTACCAGTACAAAACTGAGGGGGGGAGAGCGTCCAGCTCAGGCAGTTTGCATTGGAATATCATGAGTGAGATAGTACATCAACATCAATTGGTTCAATATGTAAACAGAGCCTCAAAAGCCAATTGACGAATCTGTGGGAACAGGTTTTCGTGATTGATTTTTTATTCATACAGGGTGTCTAGCGACGGGGAAAACCAGGAAATTCAGGAAGATGAAATTGGTCAGGGAGAAGTCAGGGAAGAAAAACGCAAAAATGGGAGAGAAGCGAACTCCCATCGAAGATCGCGATTTTTCGCATAACTTTACGGTGCTTCGATATTTAGCCGTGCAACGCTCTCTCCCGGTCTGAGGTGCCATCTGAACCGTTAGTGCTGACTTTCTTCAACTTATTGGCCTTTAGTTTTCGACAAAACCCACATTCACATTTTTTAATGTGATTCTTAATGTTTTGAATATTCACTCATTTTTTTCTTTGTTTTCACTCAATCCCCTCCTGCAATTTGATCATTTTTAACAGCTGCTGACTTTTTAAGAGTATACAAGTTTCACTTTCTGTTCCAATGATTTTTCTTCTTCTATTTTATTTAAGTAAGTAAGTAAGTCAGTAAGTAAAGGCCGGCGCCCTCAAGGGGCCAAGGCAACTGTCAGGAACTTCGCCGTCATGCACCCCGAAGTTGGGCCGTGCCCATTAACTTCGTACTATTTCTTCCTCTATTTATTTAATTCTCGAAGTTGCAAATTTCTACAAGGTTTTTTTAAAGTAACAAGCAAAGATCTTCAAAAGCATTACTATTAAGTACAAATTATGATGTAATAGTGGAAGAAAGAAAATAATCTTTTTTACGAGAGTCTCCGTTGACACCCAAAGACCGCAGAAAGGTTTTATTCTCAAATTGTAATCCATTGCTTTGAAGGGTGGAAAACATCGTACAGACTGAATGCAGATCTTGGTAAAAGGTCATAGAAAGTCAGGGAGAAAGAAAATTCAAAAGGTCAAGGAAAACCTTGAAAGTCAGGGAGAATGGAAAGAAAAATTTGCTAGACACCCTGTATGAGCACTACATGGTAATGACTAGTGAGATCGTTAAAAACTTCCTCTTTTTCAGCTTTTCCAACTTAGATCTTAAAATTTTTGTTCAAGGTTATGTTCTATTAAATTGAACCGAAGGATACAACAAACCACTATCAAATACAATCCATTGCAGTTTTCTCGTCTTATTTTATCTTTTGAAGTATAAGGTATCCATGGTGTTTACATGCATTTGATCCGTCTGCAGTAATTAAAATATTTTATCTTTTTTTTGTTCTCAGATAACAGAATCTAATTTTTATCGGTGCCATGAAGCAGTTTTGTGTATAATGCAGAGGTATCACGCTCAAGTACAAATGCCATACCGGCAAAGACTAGTCTGGAGGCTATCTCAAAGAACACTTCAGTACCTTCGTCCCACTGACAAATTGACTATGACTTTACCGACTATTGACGAACACGGTCAGCTACAACTCCCAGTTTGCGCCAGGTAAGAGTCTTTTTTAAGAGCATGAACAAAGCCATGATTGTTTCGATCTGTTTGAAAATGATTTGCTAATCTGCACTGCACACCTCTGAAGGAATTTAACATAATTGGAATGATGATAATCGTTCTCAAGTCGTAAATTCAGCTTTTCATATTTTACTTTCAAATCTTATCAGTGTTTTCATTTATGTGGTGGACAAGCATTGTGGCAGACAAGACTAATCAAAGTTAAAATTTCAACAACTCTTGGTTAAGTAATGAATCTGTTTTCCATTGCATGAGTGACCTTTAAATGTCGAATCTTTTGAAAATGCTGACTAGGGAGCTCTTCTTTCCCTTTTCTCTTAAGGTAACCTTCTTAGAATGCTGTTACTGCCTGAACTGTAAAACTCAATTATTATCTATTTTGTACTGCTGAGCTAAATTTCACTTTGTTGCTGAACTTTATGTGAACTTACATCCGTGCAGTATTACTTGAACTGTACTGAAGGTTTATTTATGGATGATTATATCCCCCGCAGATTGTTGGACAAGTTAATGGTGTCTAGTATGTAAGTTTGTCAACTAAATAAATTTCTCCTTTATTTTCACGTTGTGAAGAAAGAAATTGATCCCTGCAAGCAACTTTTACTTTTAGAAACTCATAATGTCAGGTTTTCTGGATGTTTTGTCTATGATTATCCATTGTAGAGAGATTTTCTCTTTTTTTCCTAGTTGGCGGAAATGGGTTACTCTTTGAAGCTTTTCAAAATTTTCTGATGAGTCAATAAAATTTGTTTTTAAAAGATCCCCAGCAGAAGTTGTACTCCAAACATTTAATAATAGAAAATGAAGAAAAAATTTTAGTGACGGAGCTTTACCATGCTGCAAGGATTTGAATTTTGAGTATGCACTTGCACTTTTGTGAAATTTTTCAAGAAGCACAATAGTTAAACTGGTTTAATTCAATACGAACTTCCAAGCTCAACAAAAGCTCTGAAAGTTGAGGCTAATGGACAAGATTGTTTACATGACAGTGTGAGTCCACCTTTATATCTAGTCAAACTCTCCATGCTCAGATTGAGAGTAAATACATTTGCAGTGTTGACACTGTGTTCGGGGACTCAAAAGCTGAAGCAATGGTAACCTTGCTCCTATCCGTGTATAGAGAGTTTGATTGAATATAGAAGTGGACTTTCGCTGTAGCGTATGCAATCCTCTCTATCACAGTCAACTTTGAGTACTTTTGTTGAGCATGGGGGTTTGTTTCCAAGAAAACCAGTAGCATCATAGTGTTTCTTGTAACATTTAACATAAGTTAATCACTTAAATCGTAAATCCTTGTAGTATGCAAGAGCTTCACAACCCCCCTTTGTTTGCTGTGTGTATCAGCGTCAACATGGCGTAACATCCTCTAACCTACAGTTTGGTGTTCTATCTTTGGTGTGTGATAATATTGTTGGAATTATTATTTTGTGAGTCCTCTCTTCAACATGAAATTACAGATTGAAAGCATTTCGTTTGTTCTTAAAGGGTGATTAGGTAGATTAGCTTTTAAAGTTATTATAATTTTGATTCCTGTGGAGAATAGGCGTCGCAGAACGCCCTAGCGCGCCGTAAAAGCGGCTCATACATACACATAATTTTGCTAAGTGGCATTGGTGTGTTTAAAGAGAGAGTTCTTTTTTTCAAGTTTTCAAAGTACTAGGAATTCTGTTGGTTTATGTATTCAGTAAGTATGGTGAGTGAAATTGAGATCAGCAAAACCAAGCTAAAACTGGTTTTTTTTTTTGGTGTATTGAAGTAATTTAAATTGTGTCTGGCAATACTTATCGTGGAAAATGGTGCATCTAAACTAATTGTGTTTATGCATTGAGAAAATAAAAACTAGAAAATGAATCTAATAGTACCAACAAACGCTCGAGTTGTATAATTGGTACCATCACTCAGACATGGTTTGTGTGGCTTTGAAAATTCCCTGATTTTGAAAATTTTTTGAAAGGCTAGAGAGCGCTTGATTTTTTTAAAAGCTCTATGATTTTGCTCTAGATAAGTTGTCAGGGGTTAATGCTCATTTACTAGAAATGGCAAAGCATTTGGAGTTAAATAGATTCTTTGGATACTGGATGGATAGTGAATTTGCTTTTAAAGCCCACACTTCTATCTCCCAAAGTACCGTTATCAATATTTGAAAGTGAACCTCGAATCAAAAATAAGTATGAGTAATAATGGGCCAAAGAGTTGAAAATTGTTTCATCCTGTGGGAAGAAAACCAGCCTTTCATGACTGCTTCAACTTTCAGGAACAAGCCTCGAATGACTGAAGAATGGGAATACTTGAGGAAGTACAAGAAACTGGAAAGGAGGTGGCGGTGTGTTGGAATGTCAACTAAATACCTCGGTCCTCCTTAAGTTATTCTTTCAAGAAGCTTTTTTCATTGATCTCTCTATATACTCCCTTAGTAATTTTCTGATGATTCTTTAGCTGTCTCCAAGGTTTTGTTACAATGGTAAGAGCCTTTTAATGTACGCTTTTTGTAGCTTTTATAATTATAAAGTTGCTTCTGTTCTCTGTTGATTCGGCTACTGCACCAAACTTTAACTCCATTCATCAAAGTCCTCCCCCCCCCCCACTANCCCCCCCCCCACTAGTCAATTGTAAAAACATAGAAACAAGTTGTGCTCAATGGTAGGTCAACATCAAGCCTCAGTGAGAGATGTGTTGGCCAAACTTTGTGTGGTTTTGTGTGTGAAGGTGTGTGCGAGTGTCTAATGATGCCCAAAATGAATCAATTACTGTATGATTAATGGGTCAGTGGCATCCACTTTGATTACTTAATTTTTTGAAAGCACAGAGTGAACTAAGCATCAGGGAATTTTTTTTAGATTCTTTTAACCCTGAATGGCGAAAAAAAAACCATCCTGAAAATGCTGTTAGTGAGACCGGCTTGAAACTATTTTTTTGGCTGGCTCTGGTGATGTAGCCAGGCAAGAGAAACAGCGTTTGCTGATTGGTTGAACTTAGCATTATGTGTTGCCTTATCACGCCAACTCGACTGTCAGCTTTTGATTAGTCGGATCTCCTCTCCTCAGAAATGGTTTTATGTATTAACTTTTTAAGGGATCTGCCGTTTTCTTCACGAAACTTGAACTTATGTTTGAAGAAATGTCCCACACATCCACTCAATGTCCACTACATCCTCGCAAAAATTCCTTGCCACTGCCTCACTTAAAACTTAATGTAGTGAAGTACCATCAAGCTTCTCGTTATTCCGATCATGTCAGTAAGTTTGTTGTATCCTACAGACTGGGAAGAAACAAGCACTGTTTTAAGTTGTAGTCCTATGGTCTGCTCAGTACTGAGTTGCTTCCAACTTATCTTGAATCAAAAGAAATTTTCTTCTCAAGTTCTTACCCTCTTGACAGCCTGTTATATAACTAATATTCTTCGGTATACTTTCTGTGTGAATCATTGCTAGTACATATTTCTTCTCATCTATTTCTACTGCCCGCATCAATCAAAGAGTGCATTAATTTAAGTCTTGCAACAGTATTTTCTGCTGTTCATCTCTTTTTTTTGCTCTTGCATCTCAAATTATACTTTTTGAAAGCATGTGATTCAAACCTTGATCTTATATATCCTGTATTGATGTCTTTGGTGGCAGCTAATCTGTTCAAATGGCGTTTACCAAAATCCTTGAATTCTCTTCCGTAAGGGAGAAGAGTATGTTTTTGTGATTTATAGTTTACATTAAAAGAAACATCCACAGTGACCTTTTTCACCCCTTAGGACTACAATTCAGCAGCATGCTAATGTGTTAGAGCTATTAAGTATCATGACTATCACCCACCTTTAACCTTCAACACACCTTAAACTTGCCCATGAAGCTTCACAGTTGAAACGGAATAAGTAAAGTGTAGGAATAACTAAATTTGATAGAAAGCAACAGAAAGTTTAGGTCATTAAACTCTGTTTCTGTGACTTTTTTACAACTGAGCAAATAACTAATTTATCAAAATCTGCTAAAATTTTTTTTAAAAAAGGAGGTTATGGAGAGTATTCGGGTATGAGAAAACAAACAAATCATAAAATTACTGTACTAAATCATGTAAATTTGATCGAATTGCTCAGGCAGTTGAACTGACAGAATTTTGTAATTTCATAAAACATGGAATGTTTTTGCTTAAGGTGCGGTTCTGCAAGGTATAGCTGTTGTAATGATTGGCAAGTCTACTATCTAATTTTTTTTCTCCCAGGACGACAAAAAGAAGAAAGAGAAGAGAGAAATTTCAGGCTACGATAAACAGAACACTTTTAACCATTGCCTGAACCTGACCAAAACTTAAAATTCCGTGGAATAAGACAGTGTGACTAAACAATTATCTGCTCTCTTACGCATAAGAATACTGTTTGCTATTTATCAGCTGTAGCAACAAGTTTTCCAAAGCATTTAAGGAGCTTTGTAGCAAGCATTAAGCCAGTTTGGCCTGTAAATGTACTTGTGTATGGCATCATGATGAGAATTTCAATGGTTTATCATCACTCTGAGCTAATATTGTAGTACAGAACTAAAACTTCGAAGGTGGAATCTCCCCACTGAGAAGAAGGGCTATCCCTTTCTGCGAAGTGCTAGAATAACCTTGCTGTAAAATTTAAAGTGAATGGCACTCGGTACATTGCAGTAAGAATAAAAAAATGTGTAGTTGAACTAAAAAACGTAACATTAGGTTCTGCTCCATAAGGCCTTTTTGTATTTTCCATTTTTCATGTTAATCTAAAATAGTAATTTGTAGGGTCACAAGTGAAAATAAAAGGTAGAGACTTCCGTATAGGTTTTTTCATCGTAGACGATTTATAGTTCCTAGTGTGGCTCTCATTTCGTAGTCATCAAGGCTATGCTTGGTCTAAGGCCTTTTTTATTTGTTTTTTAGAATGAATCCAGCTAATGGTAACATCGATGATAATTTTTTAAATTGGTTGAAGGACTTTTGTTTATGCTTTTCTCTGTTTTTGGCTCAGAAAGCAATTCTTAATTCTTTGTAATTTAATATTAGAAATTAATGAGATATTTTGCTTGTTTTTCAGGATGGACCGGTGTGGCTCTGGCTGCAGCTGGGATGACAACAAATGTTCCTTTTGATTAAATTTTTAAAGAAGTATTAATTTTCAAATTCCTCCTACGATAACTCAGTTGAAGATGAAAAGAAAAGTAAGGAAAGCTTATTGTATTAAACTGTAAATACAAAATCCCCATCTTAATTTATTATTATTTATTTATTTATTTTATTTTTTAATTTATTTCTTTGTTTAGTTGCTCTGAACTCAAATTATTTATTTCTCTTTCATCATATACTCATTTCATATACGTCTATTTATAACATGTGTCAATTTTTCAATATAGATGTATATTCTATTACTGGATATTTTTTTTTCTTAGGTATGTTCTTTTCTTTTCTTTTCTTTTAATTTTATTTTTATTTTTTTAACTTGAATATGAAAACGAAGGCATCAAGTGAATATTATTATGAATATTTCTAAATAATTTATAATTTTAAAGTTCGTGATTCATCAAAAATTTTAAATTTTATCCATTTCGCTGTGAATTTGTCTAGTTATAAGTCTTAGCAATGTAAAATTTATTTAAATGAAGATTTTGCAATGTTTTTGAAGCGGCATAATTTGAGATAGGTGTATAATCAATTTTATGTGTACAAATTACCTTAAATTATGTAAATTATCGAATCGTGCTTATTAAGATGATACATTTTACTGTTCGATTCCTTTGCTTTGACTTTAAATCTCTGTTATCCCAAAAAGTGTCGCTCTCCTGTCTGGAGGCTCCAGAATTTCAGTTATTTCTTGTTAAATTTTTTCAAATTCTATCTGCTGTAAATCTAGTGAGCAAAGCTCTGCCAAAAAATTTCCAAGTCTAAGGAGCACTTAGGCATGTATATATCTATGTGAAAATTTGACAAGCTTTTAAATCTTGGAAATGGATAAATGTGACGGTTTCTAAAAATACATTTGAGGTCAAAATGTGTTAGACTCGGAAGATAAACGTTTTTTGTCAACATTAACAGGCCATTCTGTCAAATCCGTGAATTAAAACGTTTCAAATCTTTTTAATTGTGTCTATTCAAAGGAAGTAAATAAGTCTATTGCTCTCAGCATGATTTGCTGAAGTTCTAAGAAAAAGAAAATCGTCAGCCTTATTTCAATATGAATGAATTATTGAATTGTTTCTTAGCCGTATCTTAAGGTTCATAAGTCTTAAACATTATTTCAGCCAGTAGTGAATCATAATCTGAAAGCAATCTTGGCCATAATTCATTCTAGAGCATTTTGCCGTGCCGAACAGTGAATGGAACAGCTTCAGCACAAATTCGGCGATTCTGTGAGTTGGTGTGGACGGTGCGGGGCACAGAATAAGCATGTGTTGTGCGGTGTGGCAGAGCTAGCTCTAAAGACTGTTTTTAGATCCTGAGCCAAAAAAAACTTGGCTCCACTAGGGCAGTAGTGTAGGGTAGATTAGTGCGTATGCACTGTGAAGCGGGAGTTATGCATGGAAAAATTAAGCAGTCCACACCGCTTGAACATACGCCTGTATGCTTGTTTACTGTGAAGCGCAGCAATTTGCTCTAGTCTGGATGCAGCTTTGGATGAAGCACTTATCGTCAGTGTCAGAAATCATCATGTTCAAATATTCTTGTTTTTCAAGTAGGACATTTTCTCATCAGTAGCTGCCCAAGGAGGAACAAAATGAATGTTTGTGAAATGAAATTTGAATCAATTTTACTGGTCTTAAATCGAATTTAAAGATCTCCAAATCCCTCATGTTCTGCATTGTAAATTGGCATATTACCAGCATCACTATTCTGTTCCCTGCATCTTCAATTTTCTTTTATCTCATTTTTTACTTTTGACCACTGTGAATTTTACCATACTGTTGGTATCCTATCCCGAGTGGTCATTGATTCAAATAAGGTTGAGGATTAATGGTCATGATGATTTAACAAACTACAATAGATTTAAAGTTAGATCTATGTTTTAAATACTACAGTAATATTGCTGGCACTCTTGAATTCAATGTAACTCAAGAATTTGTTTTGTTTGTTTCCGTTTCTTATTTTTTGTCTACCTGCTTTCAACAATTTTGGCAAGATAACCAGTTAGTGTCTAAATTGTATTGCTATGATCTCAATGGGCAAATCTTGGTGGAAACATTTGCGTTTTTAGAAACTGAATCTGTACCCAAGCTGCATCAATCGCATTTGCATGTTTTTGATGTAATTTATTCTCATCAATCTCTAGACCATGAATGGCATGAACCATCATCAGTGCAACATTGAGAAATCATTCATGGGAAAAATTTTTAATACCAAGGTTAAATCTGTCGTAAAAAGCTCTCGTGAAGGAATATAGGTTGTCTCTTAGCCTTTACTTTCTCGTGTAAAGCCAGGTTTTGGGACCATTAAACTTTGAAAGGTTGTTGGATACTATATGATTTCCCAGAAACCAATAAGCACACTAAGAATCGTCTCTTAACTCGTGTATTTATTTACAAATTTTCTTGGAATCTTGATTTCCAACTGTAGTATTTGTGATCTTGTCTTTTAATGGACGCTTAATGTTTAATACCGTCTCTGACCATTCATTGTAATGTATGACAACTGACACTCAGGCTTTAATTCTGCAGCGCACCAATAGCTCCCCAGTTGTGTATTTCAAATTCTATTACTCCAAGGAACCTAACAGGTATCCCTGTATCCGTAGATGTTTTTCTCTTCTGTTCTCTGTTTGTATTTTTATTTTATTTTTTTTATCTTGCATCAGTAGATATCGGTTACTTTTTAAATTCTCTGTCTGCAGCCTTATCTATTTACTGTACAAGACAAGTCAGAGAGCCAAAAATCTTCTCATGGACTTCCTTTCGTCCTTCTTTATGTTTTTTTCTATTTTCTGGAAACCTTAAGCAACCAAAAACTTACATACTTTTCAAAAAATTATCTTTTCACTTGCCCATTAGTTTTTACTGATTGGTATTCATCTTATATTTATTTATTTATGTAGTTATCTTTTCATTGATTTATCTATCTGTTTATTATTTTAAAGTATTTTAACTCTTTTGTTAAATTTTTCCAAATCTTTTATTTCCTAAATCACCCAAATTAGTTTTCGGATCAAATATTTCTTACCTTTGCCATCTTTACACTATTTTTTTCTACTGAAGCCCCAAATGCATTTGCTTCTATTTATATAATTTGTCATAATGAAGGAAATTTTCTACTGAATTATGTCAGCCAAAGCATTTTTATCTTCAATCAAATGCCCTATCCCTTGGTTTGTTTTCATTTTTCATTTCATTTATTTTATTTATTTTTTTTTTTTAAAGAAAAAAAAATGTGTTACTTTTTTTGAGAAGAGAGTATTTATTTATCCAATTTTTTATAAACCCATCAAAAATATTATATTATTTATATGTAAATTATCTTCAACCCTTCTTTTCTTTGAAGTCACCTATTTGTATGAATATAGAATGTTCGCATTTTAACTATTGTATAAAATCATTTTTTAATAGTAGGAATCAATTTAATTTTTTTCTCCTCATTTTATACCAATGATAAAAATTTATTTTAAAATTATCGTAGTTCATATTAAAATTTCAGTTATAAGATCAACTACTTCTATCATTTAGTGTAGAAACTTAATCATTAATTGCTGAATTGAATTAGTATCTTGATCACACTCAAATGAACATTACATCCTTGTCGCAATGTACCTTACCCCGTGTATTTTATAAGATAAATAAAACCAATTTTTGTAATTTTTTTTATCTCTTGATTTTTCACTCTTTATTTTCCTTCGATTAATTAATTTAGTATCTTCTATGTCATTAAACTTTCCATTGAATAAGTAATTACATTAATGTCTTTTCATGATGACTGCTGTGAGAATAGCTAATGATTGACATAAGTATAAATTATGTGAAAAACCTAGTTGCTTATTCAATGCTATGGTTACAATCAGACGAGAATTGATACGCATCTCATTCTTTGGCCATCTGAGTTGACTCCTGATCAATAGAATTCCAATCGGTGTGATAGGGAACCAGCCAATCAAAAATAAAAATTAACTTATCAAATATTACTATTACTGGAAAATATGGTGGATTGCTATCCAATTATTTGGGCCCAAAAGATTCGCAAAAGTATCAGACAAAATAGAAGTTATGGTGGTTTGCGAAGTCTAGCCCCAGAACAGCCTTTTTGAAATTTAAACTGGGCACAAAATTGTTGAACAATAATCCCATCTTGAGCCCGAATCTATAGGGCAAGTCCCGTAGGTAGTTGCTTAGACTGCCATGACAGCAAAGAGAGCAGTACCTAAGTGCAAAAATGAAGTTTTGGAAAAGTGGGCCCAGAGATGTCTGAGCAGAAAATTTATTGGAAGAAGCCTCTGTTATTTGCTAAATTGCCACTAATCATCCGAAAGACTCTTCGAAATCGTTCGAATGATTAAAAATTGACTGGTCTTATTTCACATACCTAAAAAGGATGTCATTCATTTTCATGTTAGGCAAAACAGCCGTAAGTGCTATCTTCAGCATGCTTTCATGGCGCGACAGACAGATTTTCAGATTAGAAATTGACAGAAGAGGGCTGCACTGTACTTCAAAGCACTTCTTATTTCATTGGCTCTCTGGAGGAATAATGTCACTTACTGCTGTTTTGCCTAAAACTAAGTCATTTTTTTTGCGTACTAACGGTCTTCTCGTAAATAAAATTCAACACGTACTGCTTCCTTCGCTCCAACAGCAATACAGGCGAAAAATTTCAGAAGGAAGAAGTAGACAGGAGAAAAGCTTTAAGAATTTCTCATTTAGGTAATGAAAGTACTGAAACTTTCGAACGCGCGTTTTTCGCCGAACGCTGGTTCCAGCGGACTCGTGGAGCTTTTTGGACCTGAAAATCGGACTCAGTGGATCATTTCCAAGAAGATAAGCTTGGTTTCAGCCCGATCGGAGAACTTTCCATTTTGACCCTAAAAAGTTAGTCCATGTAACCCCTGTCGATTTTTCTCGATTTTGGGAAGGAAAAAAAAATTCAAGATTAATGTCGAATCCTACGTAGTTTGAGGCGTAGAATCGATTGCGCATGGTCCCGAGGCTCGGCGAAGCTCTCTGAGCCGAGGAGCGCTGAAAAACGAGTGTTTTTGACCCCTTGGTTCGAGAGTTCATCGAACGCGCGTTTTTCGCCGAACGCTGGTTCCAGCGGACTCGTGGAGCTTTTTGGACCTGAAAATCGGACTCAGTGGATCATTTCCAAGAAGATAAGCTTGGTTTCAGCCCGATCGGAGAACTTTCGATTTTGACCCTAAAAAGTTGGTCCATGTAACCCCTGTCGATTTTTCTCGATTTTGGGGAGGAAAAAAAATTTCAAGATTAATGTCAAATCCTACGTAGTTTGAGGCGTAGAATCGATTGCGCATGGTCTTGAGGCTCGGCGAAGCTCTCTGAGCTAGGCTTTACATGGTCTGTCCTTTGAGGGTCAAAATCGAAAGCTCTCCGATGGGACTGAAACCAAGCTAGTCCTCTTCGAAATGATTCGTCGACCCTGGTAAAAATTGGCGATAGGAGCTGCGTTTCAAAATACCATTGGAGTCCTTATAGCCGACTAAAGAAGGCTATTGAAAATCATATAGCTGGCTGTAGAGAGCGCAGCAAATCATATAGCCGGGCTATACGAAGCCATAAAAAAAAATACAGTCGGGCTATAGTTCTTATCGCCGAGCTTTACACTTTATCGCCATTGGCTTTAAAAGGCTATAAGAAGTTGTGTAGAAATTCGTGTGCTTTGGAAATCATTAAGTTTGCTACGGAACTACCTTATTATTGACAAAACACACATTATATTTTCCTTTAGAACATATTTTCTTTTCATCAATTAAAATGAGAATAATCCATACAGAGTGTGCAAACATTGCAAAATCATGAGTTGAAAACGTTGACTCCACGAGATTAAATATTAGAGCCTAACACAAAGTGGAGCGGCGACGCACTGGCGCTTACAAACCTAACAGGGATACTTCACGCATTGCGCAATGCGTGAAGTATCCCTGTTAGGTTTGTAGGCGCCAATGCGCGTTTTGCGCTCTCCGCTCGCCCGCCGCGCCGCAGCGTACCACGGCGTCTGAAGCAACTATGTCACACCAGAGGTATTGCACAGTATCGTAAGAAATTGAAGGCGCTCCAACATATTAAGAATGACAGGCATCCTTCAAAAGTACGGCACGGTGCCTCACTTTAAATGCGACTTTGTTGTACATCAAAAATTCAAGTTGGAGGTTGTAGTGGGGTACTCCCTGATGGATTTTTGGGCAATTTCGAAATAGGTTGTCGGAGCTCCTCGAAAAATAATCGCATTTTTGTGGTTTTTTAGGGGTAAAATAGCAAAATTGGCCTCGGGGCGACAAATTAAACCCCCTCTCCCTCATCCTTGCCTTGACCGATCTGAATTTTTAGTATGTTTTTACCTGGTATAAGATGGGACTTTTCTGAAATTTTCATGCCCATACAAATTTTTTTGCTCCCGCGGCAGCGTTGCCAAGTTGCGGACTCCAAAATATCGAATTTAATGATAAAATGAAGGTTTCGGAGTGTGATTTCCATTCAAAATCAAAAATTCAAATTGTAAGTTGTAGTAGGGTACTGCCTGATGGGGTTTTGGCCAATTTCGAAGTAGAGTGTTTGAGATTTTTGAAAAATAATCGAATTTTTGCGGTTTTTTAAGGGTAAAATAGCACACTGAGCACGGGGCGGCAAGTTGAACCTTTTCTCTCTCATCCTTGCCGTGACCGATCTGAACTTTTAGTATGTATTAACCTGGTATAAGATGTGACTTTTCTGAAATTTTCATGCCCATACAAAATTTTTTGCCCCCCGCGGCAGCGTTGCCAATTTGCGGACTCAAAAATATCGAATTTGATGATAAAATGAAGGTTTCGAGGTGTGATTTCCTCCAAAATTTCACGAAAAATGTGCAATCTGAGAGTTTTCGATAAGAAAAGGCATATTTGAACAATTTAGAGTTGCAGTGTTGCCAGCTTTTGATTTAAAATTCGTCAAAATGACCCAAATCGCGTTGCAACCTCGAGCGCTGGATTTTTATTTCGTTCAGAATTGGTTATTACGGTTCTTCTGTACTCTATGCATTTAGGTACCATGAAAATTATGCCATTACTTACTTGATGGGTGCAGCTAACTCAAAAAGAGAGGCCGGATAAAGCGATGAGTCGGGGGAAAACGAGCGGTTCGGGTTGACAGAAAGTTCTTAAATCTACTCCATCACCAGAAAGTAGAATTTGAGAACTTTCTCCCACCCCCCAAACCTTATCCCTGTTGCAGTCAATCCTTTGAACATCTGATCTGAAATTTTGCCCCCGAATTTTTACCAAAAACATGATGTGTTTTTGCACAAAAACGTGTTTTTATTTTTCATGTTTTTGGTAAAAATTCGGGGGCAAAATTTCAGATCAGATGTTCAAAGGATTGACTGCAACAGGGATAAGGTTTGGGGGGTGGGAGAAAGTTCTCAAATTCTACTTTCTGGTGATGGAGTAGATTTAAGAACTTTCTGTCAACCCGAACCGCTCGTTTTCCCCCGACTCATCGCTTTATCCGGCCTCTCTTTTTGAGTTAGCTGCACCCATCAAGTAAGTAATGGCATAATTTTCATGGTACCTAAATGCATAGAGTACAGAAGAACCGTAATAACCAATTCTGAACGAAATAAAAATCCAGCGCTCGAGGTTGCAACGCGATTTGGGTCATTTTGACGAATTTTAAATCAAAAGCTGGCAACACTGCAACTCTAAATTGTTCAAATATGCCTTTTCTTATCGAAAACTCTCAGATTGCACATTTTTCGTGAAATTTTGGAGGAAATCACACCTCGAAACCTTCATTTTATCATCAAATTCGATATTTTTGAGTCCGCAAATTGGCAACGCTGCCGCGGGGGGCAAAAAATTTTGTATGGGCATGAAAATTTCAGAAAAGTCACATCTTATACCAGGTTAATACATACTAAAAGTTCAGATCGGTCACGGCAAGGATGAGAGAGAAAAGGTTCAACTTGCCGCCCCGTGCTCAGTGTGCTATTTTACCCTTAAAAAACCGCAAAAATTCGATTATTTTTCAAAAATCTCAAACACTCTACTTCGAAATTGGCCAAAACCCCATCAGGCAGTACCCTACTACAACTTACAATTTGAATTTTTGATTTTGAATGGAAATCACACTCCGAAACCTTCATTTTATCATTAAATTCGATATTTTGGAGTCCGCAACTTGGCAACGCTGCCGCGGGAGCAAAAAAATTTGTATGGGCATGAAAATTTCAGAAAAGTCCCATCTTATACCAGGTAAAAACATACTAAAAATTCAGATCGGTCAAGGCAAGGATGAGGGAGAGGGGGTTTAATTTGTCGCCCCGAGGCCAATTTTGCTATTTTACCCCTAAAAAACCACAAAAATGCGATTATTTTTCGAGGAGCTCCGACAACCTATTTCGAAATTGCCCAAAAATCCATCAGGGAGTACCCCACTACAACCTCCAACTTGAATTTTTGATGTACAACAAAGTCGCATTTAAAGTGAGTTCAGGGGCACCGTGACGGAGCTTTCCTCGCAAAATAAATCAAGATACTACGGCACAAAAAGAGAGCGGTAGTCCAAAAACTAACTAAGTCCTAGTATCCGTATTTAGTAACGTTTAGCATAAATTTTATCGTCTGGCTGTTGCTTAGTCGCCATCGGCTATAAAAAGGCTATAAGAAATTGTACAACCGGCTACAGAAGCTATTGGAAATCTTACAGCCGACTTTCGGTCTATGGTATTTTGGAACACTGATTCTACTGCCAATTTTTACCAGAGGAGTTCGATTCTCAGGTCCAAAAAGCTCCTCGAGTCCGCTGGACCAAGCGGATCGATCGAACCAGCTCAATCGGAGAACTTCCGATTTTGATCCTGAGAAGTTAGTCCATGGTACCTAACTAACACGCAAACATCATTCGATCAAAAGTAAGTTGGTCGAAGTTAAGTACTCTGTTCGGAAATCATTTTTTAACCATTTTCCGGGAAAGGAACCTGTCTCACACAATTTTTTCCGTTGGAAACATCACAGGAAGCTACAAAATCCTGAATGCTTGGGTGCGGCAAGAAGGCAAATCGAGGCATATCGACGGTGTGAGTCGGCAATTACATAACTCGGTTTGCGACGTCGCACTATGGTCCAGAACTCAAGAATAGGAAGAAATAAGTTGTATAATGTCACGAAAGTTTCGTTACCTGTGTTTTTTGAGTCGCTAATTTCTAATTTGAAGTCATATTGCCAAGATTTTAACACCCTGACCTAGTAATGTGGGACAGTTTATGACACGCTGCGGCGCGGCGTGCTGCCCGCTCGATATGCACATTGGCGCCTACAAACCTAAAGGGATACTTCAAGCATTGCGCAATGCGTGAAGTAGCCTTTTATTTTGTAGGCGTCAGTGCGCGTTTCGCGCTGGCAGCACGCCGTCGCAGACTTCCTGTGATACTTTATTTTTTAAACGGAAAACTACCCAATGGCAATTCTCTAAAACTGTCGTGATTCTTCTTCTGTATGCGAAGAAAATTCTGCAAAAACTGCAAGAAATGATGTAAATTTTTTTCCTTGAAAAAAATAACACAGAGGCGGAGATTTTCAGACACCGCAAACGAGTTATGTGATTGGCGACTTACACCGTCGATACCTATGCATCTTCGGGCGACTTTCAGATGGGTTCTGGATGACTTGAAAAATAAAAGATGCTACAGGTGTAAATGAACTTTAAACTAATTCTGAGAAGGGGAGCTCAATATTTTTTTTAAAAAAATTAGCATCTATACCTACCCGAAAGCCAAGTTTTATCTGAAGTAATGAAAGCTTATATCTCATTCAAAATCCTTCTTGCCTCTCTGCAAAACACCGAGAGAAAAATGTGAGTCATATTCTAAACCACAAGTGAGTACGATGTTCTGGATCGACTGTGCTATTCGGTTCATGACAATCTCGGTTGCAGTTCCTAGAACCGAAGAATTCAGGCGAACACTGTACATACGGTTCATAAAGACGGACAATTTTTAAATCAGTGTATATACCTATCTTTTGATTAAAAGGGATGGAAACGTGTAAAATTATCAACCCAGAAACGTTGTTAATGGTAATATATTTATTTCCAATCAAAATTGAACTAAGAATTTAACAAAAAAAGAAAACCTCAAGATTCCGTACAGAGACTTACAAAATCTTAATAGGAAGAGGGTAAAATGTACAAAATAGATTAGTTACACAAACAGTCTTAAAGAAAGAAAAAAAAAGAATAGGAGACAGATGTTTGATCGCGAAAAAAATCCGCGCTTGAAATCTGCCTGTGAATTATTTTCTGCTCTTGCTACTGAGGTCGGCAGGCTTGTAGGCAGATGGTGAAGAGACGATAGGCAACGGGATTCGAATATAGTGAGAGGAAGTGGGAAGGCCTCTGTGGTCCAGACTGAAGAGTACGCTATTATTTGACGGGGATGCATACAGCATGCCCTGTGAAGTCGGATACAAAAGTCCTGAGGAGCTCACTGCAAAAGTTTCATCACCAGCGCCACCTGAGAAAAAGAAGTCAAAAATTATAAATGTGTTTCGAGTTCGTGTATCTTAGAACTTTCGCGCCAACTTTGTGCAGCGTCGTCGTGGTGATGAAGAGTGGGTACTGGGACCGCACCTGACTCCATCTCAATATCCCTTCTCAAAAATTTCGATGGATTCATACTATACTCAAGCAGCTTCTTTCTAAAGGAAAGACATTGCCATGAAGTCTCAGTTATTAGTTGGGAAATATTGCCAAGTACAAAACTGAAATCCTGATGATACATTTTTCCGATCCACTTTTAAGATAATTGCAGATAATTTTCTCGCCCAGAACAAAACTAGAGGTTGACAGAGTGGTCTTGAGGCAAAACAAAATGCGACAAAAATGTACCCAAAAACGGTTTGCAGGGGGTGAGTCTATGGTACGCGTGGACTTAAAATCGCGAAGAATCAAACTCTTGGCTCATCCTAATTTCGAGATATCGCAATTTGAAATTTTCGTGGTAAATGCAAGTTTTCTGCTGACTTTGATCCGCTCTTTTATTTATTTGTTCATTGAATCGGTGTTGATCGGTTCCCGTTTTATTTTTCGTTCAATTTCTGTCGATCGAATACATACCCTCGGCCTCTCGGTACAAGCAGAATACCTTTATGCAGAATAACCTTTTTTTTTCAAAATGAGCCATTCGCCTTCCGCTGCGTCTGCAGCAATTGTTGTTACGAATATGTTGTGCGTGCTGATTTTAGCACATTACATACTCGACTCTCTGAAGGCGTTTTATTTGCGCAAGTGGCGCATTCTGTCGGAGAATGAAGTAGGGATTGAGCGATTCATTCAATCTCACTTCTGTCGTTCTCCAACAGGGTGCTCTACTTTCGCACATTGAACGCCTTCAGAGAGTCAAGTATGTAATGAGCTGAGATCCGCACGCACAACATATTCGCAACAACAATTGCTGTGGACGCAACTGAAGGCGAATTGAAAACAACCGTAACATGTTGAAAAACATTTTAGCTCTTTTTGGCTCTCATAGGAGCAAAGTTGTGTAGGTCTCCAAAGTAAATTTTTGAAGCTCTGGGAAAGCTACACGTACAACAGATTCGGCCTCTGCAAACCGTTTCTGGGTATCTACATTTTTGTCACATTTTTCTTTTGCTTCAAGAGCATTGTGGTGTTGGCGCTTCTTCAGTACTGGCGAATGAGCTAAACCAAGAATGAGAATTTTTAGTGCGATATATTTTGATATCTAAACTTAGTTCAGGTTGAAAAGTTCTTCGAGCACCTCCCATGAAAGAACTTTAAAAAAAGACAACTCTCTATTAATTAAAAAGCTAAAATGTTTTTCAACGTGAATTAAACGGTTGTTTTCAATTCGCCGTCAGTTGCATCCGCAGCAATTGTTGTTGCGAATATGTTGTGCGTGCGGATCTCAACTCATTGCATACTTGACTCTCTGAAGGCGTTTAATGTGCGAAAGTAGAGCACCCTGTTGGAGAACGATAGAAATGAGATTGAATGAATCGCTCAATTCCTACTTCATTCTCCGACAGATTGCGCCACTTGCGCAAATAAAACGCTTTCAGAGAGTCAAGTATGTAATGTGCTAGAATCAGCACGCACAACATATTCGTAACAACAATTGCTGCAGACGCAGCGGAAGGCGAATTGCTCATTTTGAAAAAAAAGGGTATTCTGCATGTACCGAGAGGGTATGTATTCGATCGACATATATCGAACGAAAATTAAAACTGGAACCGATCAACACCGATCCATTGGACACATAAATCAAAGAGCGGATCAAAGTCAGCAGAAAACTTGCATTTACCATCAGGGCCGGATTTACCTACTTGCCGCCCATGGACCGCCTGTATTTTGCCGCCCCCTTCTCATTCATTTTGAAACATCAATAAAAACCATCAAGTGTATGTGCCGGAGGGGGAGGGGTGTATGAGACGCGTTTACTCGTGTTGGACACATTTTTTGAGAAAGCACCGTCTACACTACCAGCAAAAGTTCACGGAACTTCGCGCGAAAGTTAAGCTCCGTAGACCTACCTCTGTGTGGACAAGGCCATCCATTTGTAAGAAATGAAAGAAAAAAACATGAAAGAACTAACGTAAACGTGGTTTAATAAATTCTAGACGGAGCGCAATTCAGCTATGCACTCACGACTGCAAAAATGTGAACGGAAATCGAAAAGGTCAGCGTGCATAAAGGCTATTTCCATTTTAATCTTCCGTCAAATTCTTACGGCGCATTGATACAACTATTTGAACTCTCCGGAATGCGTGAGGTATCACGCCGCATTTGAAGGCGTTTTCAAAACAGCCAAGTTCCGATACCCGGATTATCGTTTTGCATAGTTCATATTGTTTTGTTATATTCCGTACCACTTGTTTATTCTTAATCCTCGTAAAAAAACCACCCATTTGCTAAATACAATTCTAGCTGAAGTGCACTTAAGCTATGCATTATGCAAGTGTTGAAAATACTTTTATTTTGAAGTTGTTCGATTTTTTTTTATCTATTTTCAGTGGCAGCATTTCATTGGTTGTTGTTACTCGGGGATAAAGATTGTCATTGACACTATGATCTGTCGTGATACAACGTTGCAAAGTTTATTCGAGGGGCCCAAGGCCACCCTTGCCAAGCTTAGCTGCCACCAAAGCAAGTTCACCACATTAGAAAAACGCCGTTTCTTTAAACGTAGTGACGTCTAGATCTTTATCTAGACGTCACTAAATTTCTTCCGATAAAATATAATTTTTTTCCAAACCTTGCACAAAACAAGAGCGATGAATCGTTAGTTAAGTGTCAAAAACTGAACAAGGATGCTTCAGAATCTGTTCATTGAATTTAAAGATTTTAGGAAAAATGAAACATACCGCTCAAAGAAAAATTCAGGGCTTTACAAAATTATTTGTATGATAATTGATAAATCACAAAATAATAATAAAATTGAAAAATGTGGAGAAAATTCAAAGCGGCTTTGCCGTGCTAATCACATCTTGCCTGTCGCAAAATGTTCTATTGTAGAGCTCCCTATACGGATTCCTAACCTTTCGTACAATAATCATTCGTCCATGAATTCAACGACTGGCGTACTATCGCCGAATTTAGTTTCACGCATAGGCCGCTCCAAATCAAATGTAAACTGTGCGACGAGGCGCAGCGCGGCGTGGCGCGTTTCGGAGATATCGGGTGCTGACTGGACCTATCTCATCTCATGCCAACGAGGAAAACGGAGGCACATGAACAATTGACAAATCTGCTACTTTTTCAAGAAAATATCCCTCAGACAAGCATCTATAGGTGCAAACCCATAATTGACAGCGCAACACCGCGGTCACTCGAAAATAGAGCTAAAATTTCATGAGGTGCAACTGATTTTTTTCTTC